TAACATGTTGAGAGTTATTCACAGTCCACAGTTTGCAGCAAAACCTGCAAAATGGTTGACCCCGATATATAATTAGGTCATTTACGTCGTGCGGGGAAAACGGCGTCTCAGAGCACGCAGCTATCTTGATTAGTATTTAATGAGACGCTCGCAAGTAGCAATATCGCAGAACGAGGGTACCGACGGAGTAGTGTTTATCGAGCGAAAGTAGGTGTGTAGATAGTGTGTGCGTAGATATAATTAGACACATTGACTCGCGCCTGACTCGCATAACATTTTCCTGGGACGGGAGTATATGTGACGTCACTATGACGTCATTGAATCTTTCGAATTCCGTTAGGAGGTCGACGAGAGTATGCCTAGACTCTCGTTTTCGGGCGCGGATTTGCAAGCCTGTATAAAGATAGGATTTACATATATATCAGATCTGATTGTATTGAAACAAACATGCTAATGGAAAAAGGCTGTCATTATGCGCCAAGCATCATAGTGGGCTTCTACCATTTAATTTGCCATTGTCTATCTCCGCAGTGATATTTTTATTGTGCAATTTCAATGGCAGCAAGGATCTAGGTCTGGGTTACACTGAGTGCTTGGACCAACCATACTGCCGTAATCCCGCATGGCAAGGATTTTGTATTCTACAATTTTTTAAGGCAACTTCAATGGCGGGAAAGATTCGCCTTTATTGATGCTCGACAGGCTCGGACAGCCATTCTTATTGGATCACAAATTGATATATATACCAATTCAAACATATTAATCTAGCGGTTGTGGTGTCTGAAGTTATTATTTGTTTCAATGACGCTTCACACACCTCATTTCACTTGTCATAACACACCTCCAACAAATAATGATTAGTCATATTTCCTCCAGTGCACATTATGCATTACTCATGATTGCCATAATGCATTACTCATGATTGCCATAATGAGTTAGACAATGATATAATTCAAATCAAACCATTCTGAATCTGTCTTGTTAGGATAAGAGTGTGGTCTTATATTATATAGATCAGGGGTGGGCAAAATTTTCTAGTATAAGAGCTGCATGCAGCAAGTCAGAAATATGTGAGAGCCCCATAATTTTTGAAATTAATAAAATAAGAATACCTTGAACTGAAATGAACTTAACATTAACGTATAATAATAAGTATATATTCTTCAATCGCTTAATGAATTGGAAAAAAACTGTTACGCTACAGTTTCTCTTAGTTAAAATTTGGATAATATATAATTATTGCCAGCAAGAAGAGCTGCATGGAAAATGTATATGGAAAAAAATCCCAATTTGCCCTGAAAAGGTCCAATGAAAAGTATGTTTTTGCATTAATTTGTGACTTGACTTGACTGGATGACAAGGCCGTGGTGGGAAATTTGTGACTTGCTTGTCAGCGGTTCGCCATCTATTAATTGGATTATTTTGCTATGTACTGATACATAGGTATGGGATTTCTAACTGCTATTTCTTTTTGCTTATTACTCACCCATAAAAGTGGGTACTCCCGAAGTATGAGAACCAAGATGGCGGACACCGGAAGTATGTGTACCAGGTTAGGGTTAGGCCATAATTTTATTCCAATTTTCCTTATTTCAGTTCTATTACGAGTTCGGAGACTAGCCAAGTGAATACCGTAGTATTTGTACCTGAAATTATGGCCTAACCCGGTACACATACTACTTTCCGGTGTCCGCCATCTTGGTTCACATACTTTGGGAGTTCCTAAAAGTGTTAAATGTATTTTTTTAAGAATGATCAGTTATGTCATCAACTGATCATCACCAACCAGCTGTGAAGTAATCATGTATGTTAGGGGTGTGCAACCTTTAATACAGAAGGGCCAGATAGAACTAACTGCGTGAAACCGCAGGCTGACCTTTATTTAACATAGGCTTTCTAGTAGTTTCAGGCACTAAAATTTAGGTTATTGATCTTGTGACATTCGTTGTTTGCACATTCATTCAGAATTGGCACTTCTCTGCGGGCCGCACAATTTTATCTTGAGGACCGCATTTGGCCCGCAGGTTGCATAACCCTGGTGTATGTTATTGGAGTAACTTTTTTTTGTACGGCTTTCATTAACGCTTGTTGCTCTTAATAAAACAAGCAAGCAATCACTGATATCCAACAATATGTAATGAGCTATTATGTTTGGATGGACTGAATCTTTCAGGTTCAGCTTTGGCTACCTAATGTATTATACCCTGGCATATGATTGCCACCAGGTATATTCATACCGAAGATAAATAAAGCACAACCGGTGTTAGCAAAATGATTTAATTTACTGAGGTCATGACCTTTTCATACAATTTGATGTAAAGTGAAGAATGACGATATTCCTCCCTGGTTAACCTTCGTTCTATTGTGGATGACCGAAATCATTTCTTTGTGAAACAAAACAGGCTCATTGAAAAGGGGCCAAGCATCTAGCGTTTGTGGTATCAAATGTTATTATTTGTTTAATGACGTTGTAACACCTCCATTAACGCCTCCAACAAAGGTATGTAAAGAGATAATTAGCCATTCAGTTTTTTTTCGGGTCTGGAACTACTAGAAAAGCCTATATTAAATAAAATTGCGACCTGTGGTTTCACTCAGTTATTTGTATTTGGCCCTTCTGCATTAATAAGGGTTGCTCACCCCTGCACAAGCTATTAATCCTGTTCACTAGTTATACAAAAGGGCTGTCAACTTGTGCCGAGAACCGTAGATAGACACTAAGAACAGAACAACACTAGTATTCACAGGCTCTCATAGAGAGATTAGGGCAAGCCTTTGGAATTTGGGTGGCACTTGGCAGGCTCGGACAGCCGTTGTCACTAAGTATCAATTTCACTTTAATATCTACTGAAATGTAATACCCTAACATTTGTGGTGGCAGAGTTTATTGTTTCATATTCGCACGCCCCTTTTCATGAGTTGCTACGCCCATGAATATGAAAGGTATATTGATTTGTGAAGTGGTTAAAAATACAATTTACCTTTTGAGTGCTAAAACTGATTGAATATACAAGTCATTTATAGAGTTCTTTATTATGTTTAATGTTCTTTGTACAACTAATAAATAAAATAGTGTATTAAATAAAGTAAAAAATTAATAAACACTGATTAAAATAAAACGGACCTGGATAAGATACATTGAGAACTGACTTCATAACAAAATTGAAATTATGAAGAACATGTAGAAGGGGATGGACATTAGGGGATACTCAAATATTTTTATGCCTTTGTGCCGTTTTTTATTCGTGCATATCCTTATAATACATATACTAGCCCCAAATGACAAAAAATGCAGAACAAAAAATTGAGTGGTGTAAAAATCATACATTACATTTAAAACTCTGTGAAACTTTCATGCAAAGATTTGAACCTCTCAGACTGGTTTATTTAGAGAAGGGTCAGGTAAGGTTGTGAGTCATTATTTGAAAGCAAGAATCAAACAGCCGCAGTGAATGGCCATTATGTATACGCAGTGAATGGCCATTATGTATATGCATATGCCCCACCCTAGGGGTCTCCAACTCAAAATATGTCATGGGCCACTTTTTGAAATTTATTGACGACGTGGGCCACAAACCAACAATTTGGTACAAATTTGCTGCACAAAAAAATAACAAAAGAATTCTGAATGTATTTGTTGAAATTACACTTGAATCTTACACCAAACGAGATATGGAGCATATTCATTTAATTGTGCTGGATATTTGGCACCGTTTTGTAGCGGTGAGAAACTCGATGCTAGGTTTGCTAGACCAGGGGTGTCGAACATGCGGCCCGCGGCCCGCATGCTGCCCCAGAGCACTTTCAATGCGGCCCTCGAACGCTTAACAATATTTGTAATATTTTGTGAGTTTTTTTTATCTAAATGTAATACCTTAAAACCTTTTAAAGTGAAATCGAATATTCACACAGAAAACCACAATTTGCTGGAGGTAGTTTCGGGAAATTAAAATTTTCAAGGATTAAATAAAACGCAAAGTACATGAAGAAGGTGGCATTTTTGAAGAAAAATGGGAGTTGCAATATTTCTACATTTCTCAAAATTCTAAAGCACAATGTTTAATTTGTCACATTTCCCATCAGTACAATGAAAGAATACAATATAAGTAGACATTATCACTTATCACAATAAGCTCAGCAGTCGATATGTCAATTTTAAAGATCAACTTTGAACAAATTTTTTCTTATGTGTTTGAATTTTACCATAATTATAAGGCTACCTAGTTACTGAGAATTAATATCAATCATAACTCAAGCGGGCCACGTAATGGTGGGAAATGTCTAGTCCGAAAAGTCAGTCATTTGTTTGTTTACTGATCTATACATGCAATGTTAAACGTAATATTTTTGTATTACTGAAATGAATCAAACATTCTCAACGATCCAGAATAACCGATTATCATGTGACCTTTTTAATTCGCACTGTAAAATCATTTCAGCCTGATATTAGTAAGCTGGTGGCACAAAAGAGGATGCCAAACGTCAGAACATATGTAATAAAAAAAAAAAAAAGTTTATTCTGTAGTATTTTTGTAAATTTTAAGCTTATATATTTAGATTACGGTAAGTATTTTTTAGTGTATGTGCTTTTCTTATCAAAACTTTGTTCAAAAATGTTTTGGATAGTTGTACACAAAAAAATTTATGATTTTTTGTAATAATTACAGTAAATTGCAATAATATTGAAATGCAAAAATTAATATGTAAATGGCAGTTGAAATTCGAGAAGATACCAAAACTCCATTCGGCTGTTTAATTGCATCACAATATATGTCACAAACTATACCTATCTAAAAATATGCTTCAAGTATACATTGTCAAAATATATCAAAAACTATTTGCGGCCCTTTGCACAATACCCAAAATGCAATGCGGCCCTCGAAAACCCACAAGTTTAACACCCCTGTGCTAGACTTAAGACGACATGCAAAAATGCTGCATCGTGTTTGAGACCCCTGCTTCAGTCTCACAAAACAAATGAATTATATTTGTTTCCACAGCAATCCAGAAGGCTTCAACATAGCAGTAAAAGATTTCGGGCCGAGCTGGAGAGATGGGGGAGCTTTTAATAAGATGATTTACACAATTCAGCCCGAACTCGTCGACTTAGGCCAACTTGGTCGACACACAAACACAGAGAATTTAGAACATGCATTCCAGGTCGCTGAAAAACATCTTGGGATTCCGAGGTTACTGGAGCCCGAAGGTATGTTATTTCATTTATAAGATTACTTTTGTGCGTTCACTGAAAACAGTGTTTCTCAAACTTTTTTGCCATGGAACACCTACGCTTTTTATCTCGCCTCATGAAACGCCAAGAAATTAGAAGGTAAAATTAATGGGTGATTTTTACAAAAAATTCAGCCTAGGGTAAAATTGGAAATTTCGCTGTAAACTGGACAATTGAAAAATTTGGCATACTGGAAAACTTAACTTTTTCAATTCACCATCACCGGATTTTGAACTCAAGATCTTCAACTTGCAAAACCTTCGGTTGGATTAAGGCTTTTTGCAAGTAAATACTGCAGCCAGGGGAGGGGTTTGCAGGATCAGAACCCTGTCTCTTGAAATGTGAAAAAAAATTCGGTACCATACAAAACCATTTTTCTTAGCTTGAAACCATTTTTTAGACCTTGAAAGCTCTTGAAACCCATGTTTTTCGTCCGTGGCCACTAGTTTTTTTCAGTCTATTAGAAACGTCAGAACCGCTGGTATTTCTAGCTATGCCTCTGGCTGTAGCACAAAGCTACTGTTTTTTTATTCCAATTTTTAAAATTTCAGGTGAAAATTTACTAAATAATTACAAAATTTAAAAATTCATATCTTCAAATATATCTATTTTTCCATTGTTTTCGAGTTTTCAGACAGCAAAATAAATCTTCAATTTCTTTGTTCAGTCTGCAATAAAATTGAGCTTTTACTTGGAAAAAGCTATGAAAAGTGAAAACAAACACATTTAAGTATCGTTGCTATCTCTTAAACAAACAAACTTTATCAGAAACCAAACATTATTAAATCTCAGGCCAACTGAAATTGGTCTAATGTGAGGAGACATTGCCCAAAGGCAAATAGTTATTAAATAGGAAACGGTATTTATAAGGAATAGGTAAGAATGTGGTTTTATTTCAGAGTAAGGTATAAGGCAGTGGCTCCCAACCTTGTATATATCTTGTGACCCGTTCTGGAGGATTTTGGCACTCATGATCGCCCTTATTTATTATTCAAAGGTTATTTATAGTGTTATTTTGATTGGTAGATTCAAAATCCCATTAGGTTCAAGCAATTCATGCTCAACAAGGTGAAAAACCTTGTGAAATAACATTATCAAGCAACGAAACTAAGAAGAACAGGGAGCTTTCTAGTAAAAAAATATCAGTTTTGCGCCTGATATGTGCTCTTTCTCCAATTATACTGTGACCACTGGTATAAGGATTGCTTGTTGAGCCAATGGAAGGTTTTTACAGCTGAAATAGAAAAGGGTTTTTAATTGCATCATGGGTAGAGGAAAACTGTTAGGATTGAAAATAGGGTGATCCCGAAGTATGCGAACCAAGATGGCGGAAATCGGAACGTAACATGGGTAACAGGTTAGGGTTAGGCGATAATTTCTTTCCAATTTTCCTTATTTTAGTCCTATTATCAGTTCGAAGACTAGCCAAGAGCCTCCCGTAGTATTTATACCTAAAATTATGGCCTAACCCTAACCTAGTACACATATTACATTCCAATGTCCGCCATCTTGGTTCGCATACTTTGGGAGCCCCGAAAATAGTCATCTGAGACAGGATTTTCATATTTATGTACAGATGAAAAGTTGATAAGACAGTTTTTGTTTTTATCCTGGGGGTGAGGAAAGGTCATAAGAGGGATAAATATTGTAACAAACTGATTTGGTTATTGTAGCCAAAATAGGATTGGTTTTGTAAATTGTATTAAAGTGAACTATGTACTGCCACTAATAGGACTGGTATGAACATATAATATAGGAATATTCATTATCCAATGAAAATCTTAGTTAGAAATCATAAATTCTTTTGTTTTGACCTTTTGTAGTAGTAAGCCAAATTTCATTTTTACAGATGTTGATGTTGATAGACCAGATGAGAAGTCAATAATGACTTATGTTGCTCAATTTGTGACCAAATATGCTACTCTAAGTGGAGAAACCGAAGTGGACGCCCCTCAGGTAAGATATGTATCATTTTTTGACATGATTTGCACATGTAGATGGTTTTACTGTATTCACTGAGGTTGCTGCCTCTGACTTATCTCAACCAGACCCAGTGTTTCTCAAACAGTAGGGGGGGGGGGGCACAAAGGGGCGGGCGTAGACAATCTTTTGAGTGGGCGTGAAGCTAATCGATAATAAAAATATTTGTTTGATTCGATCTTGCCTGCTTCAGAGATCGCGATTCCATTCTCGTATTTTCAATGTGATTTTTTCCCCCACTATCTGTTATTTGTAGCTTATTGTTAGCTAGTTATTTGTGAAGTGGGGTGAAAGACTTCACAAATTCTAGAAAGGGGGCGCGGATGCAAATTTCGAGAACCGCTGATATAACCTGTGGGCAGGCATGTAGTAAGTTCAGAGTTGTTCTGTCTTTGTCTTGACTAATTTTCTGATCTTGTTTATTCGATTAAGTTTAATTATCAAGTTTCATTAGGTAAGTTGAGGAAATTTGAATTTTTTTGATACTGGAGTTTTAGACTTTTGATGGTGATAACTGATAAGCTAGAGTAAATTTCCAATAGAAATTCAAGAAGCTTTGAGTTGATTAGGCATTTTTAACAAAGAAAGATCAATACAAAATGTACCCAGCCCCCTTTTTTTAAAAATGAAAGAAATTTGCACACGCCAAAGTTTCTAATTTTCTTCGAGTCACAGCTGAAGTCGTGAGTACTCAGCAAAATGACCCAGAAGCCCAAATTTGGACATTTATTGTCACCATTATAGGCAGAATTTGGTCTTCTTTTCAATATTGAAAGTCTGCTATTTCGATTGGGACAATTTAAAAATAGGCCTACTTCCATTGCCTACTCAGTGCTATAGGGCATATCAGGCTGGGATGGCTGAGTGTGAGTTTGGAGGGTATTTTATCCGACTTCACGGTTCTGGGTAAAATGCAACGTTTTCCAACAATAAATCTGAATTACTTTTTAATTTAGGTTGATGAGAATACAATTCAATATGAAGAAGTTATGTTCTGGTTATCTGAGGCCGAGGAAAAACTTGCAGAAGTTCATAAACGTTTCCGATACAGACATCAAGACTATCCTGACCGACTCGAACTCCGGGCAAAGTTTGGGGAAATAGATGACCAGGTTTGAAAGAGATTTTGCTTTTACTGTGTTTTCTGTGGCATCTGAAACTATCGTTATCATTCCTTCAATAATCCTGTATGGGTTCGCAGGTTCAAATCCTGTGGCTGATAATTATGTGAAGAGGATGGCTTCTTCCATCAAGAATGGTCTGTCACAATTCACATGCCAGAGAATTTCACGAAAATTAAAAATTCCATCCATAGAAATTTTAGCCAGAATATTCTAACTTTTGGAAATATGGTTCAACAATTCAATGAACATATGCCTTCTTTATATATTTATAAAACAAACTTATTTCCTCATCCAGGCTCAATTACTACGTGACAAGTGGGCGGACGGTCAGGCGTCCTCAATTTCTGAGCAACAGATAGAACAAATGGATAATTTGCTGAACAAGATTGACAAATCAGTAAAGGTAAAAAAGAAAAGATTTTTTTTGGTTTTGATGATGTTTGTGAAAGACCATAACACCACGGCACCCTGTGTTTTGTTGCACAAAAGGTTGACTCGTTAACTTTCTCATGTAAGGAAAAAAACTACAGAAACAACAAAAAAAATTTTTTTGTAAGGATAGATACTTCCTTTCTTAATAAATAAAATGAGAATTACCATTGTACTATCATTCATGAAATGCTTACTTTATTAAAAAAAAAATTTTTTTCTCTAGAAATGGCATCGTGAACTCGACAGTCGTCTCCCAGGCCAGCTAGGTGAAGTCGGAGCCTGGCTGCATGAAGCAGAAGAAATTCTGTCGAGAAAATATGACGACGCTGCAAATGAGGAGGAGATTGCAGTAGTCGTCAAGAAACAGATGGATGAACATAGTGTATGCTTTTTTTATGGACAGGAGAGGGTTGAACAACTGATTGAAAACTCAGACACCTAAGGATAAGGATAGGAGAGTAAAAGTATCAACATTGACGGAATATATTTTATCTAGAACTGGGGTACATGTAGTCCCAGTGGGTACACTAGATTTATTACTGTTGGTCTCAAACTTTTCAAACCGTCCCCCCTTTTAGAATTTGTCAAGTCTCGCGCCTCACTTCAAAAATAACTAGCTAATGATAAGCTACAAACAACAGATAGTAATGCGAAAGTATGTTTTATTCTAATAACACATTGAAAATACATGGATGGAATCGCAATCTTCAAACAATAAAGAAATGTTAATATTCGAAATAAAGCAGGCAAGATCAAATCTGCAAAAAGAAATTTTTTTCAATTAGCTTCACGCCCCCTCAAAAAATTGTCTACCCCCCTTTTTCACCCCCATTTGTATAACAATTTTGCTTCACTTCAGGCTGTTTTCAAGAACAAGAAAATAATGGAGCAAATGTTTCAAAGAAGCAGAAGTACACGACAGTCAAGGATCGGGCAGCAACAAATTCCTAAAGAACAACTGGACGATATGAGCCAGAGATTTTCAAGTACGTAAACAGGGGCGCAGCCAGGATTTTCGAAGAAGGAGATGTGGTTTCAAAATCGAAAATTCTCATTCCTTTTGAGACAGTCGTCGCGATTAAGCGCTTGTTAAAACAGCTGACTTTTTCAGCTTATAATGACTTTAGCCTAGTTGTTAGCCAAGCTGTTGTAAATGAATTTGTTTTTTTAATCATAGTTTATCTTATTGAGTCTTTAGCCTTCGACCCAGTAACCAAGTCCATTACCTGTAACAAGTCCACTCAGAAAAGTATTTTTTCAACCCTGCCCTACAGGAATTTTAATTCAGGTTTTCCTAAATCAAGACCATGTGCCCCTATATGAAATAAAGTCCATTGAAACAAGAGTTTTGGGTACTTACGTAGTGTGTACCAGCAGTGGCGTAAAAAGACTCTCATGGGCCCCCACGCAAAAATATTTTGTGGACCCTAAAAACTCTCGGACGAACTTTTCATTTTTTATTTTGTCAAAAGCATAACATGTCGCTATTAAAAGGCAATGGTAACCTAAAATTTGCCGTTTATCTTGGTTACTTTAATTTTTTTCATATGTGCTTCCTCTTCTGCCCTTTTTCTGCGTTTCTGTGCGCCACTGAGAGATTTTGCTTTTGACATCATTCTGACAGCCTTCGTAATTCCCGAAAATCGTGGCTCCCTGGCATTGTTACATAACGAAACGATTTGAGCCGAACTAACATCATCGTTATAAGATGTGCATTACTGGTTTTGCAACGCAGCCCTTGGTTTTGCAACTTAAATTTCTAAATTCTAACCGTGACGCGGGGGTGGATGCTACGCCACTGTGTACCAGGTTAGGGTTAGGCCATAATTTTTCTCATGATTTTCCTTAGCTATTACGAGTTCGGGGACTGTCTGTGTTAGCCAAGTGAAAATACACCCAGTCCATAGCCTTTTGTCTCCTTACACAACATGATGTAAAATTGACAAACAAAATTAGTTACCTCCAGATTGGTGCACACACTTCTGGAGTGACAAGTTTTGCTAGCCAGTTAAAAACTGCTTGTGAATTTATTGTAAATTTCAGTCAGAGGTGCGAGATTGTCTTCATAAAAAACTAACTCAACATCCCCCTTTTCTCAGGAATCACCACTGAATCCGCTTCAAGAATGGCTCAGCTTGAATTCATGGAAGCGAAGTCCCAAACCCTGGGATTCCTGGCCACTGCAGAGACAATGCTGAAGCAATGGACTGTAAAATATGGGAGAAAACCATCTGTGGATGTCTTATTGCAGAATTATAAGGTACGTTAATGCTGGGAAATATTCTGTCTACATTGTCTATAAATGCTATTGTAGAATTATAATATATGTTTATGCTGGGAAATATTCTGTCTGTGTTGTTCACATATGCTATTGCAGAATAATAAGGTATGTTTATGCTGGGGAATATTCTGTCTGCTTGGTTCATAAGTGCTATTGCAGAATTATAAGGAATGTTAAAGCTGGGATATATTCTGTCCACGTTGTTCAAAAATCCCATTGCAGAATAATGGGGTTTGTCAAAGCTGGGAAATATTCTGCCTGAAAAAACTGCCCTAACGTATCAAATTGTCAATAGACTTCTTTATTTTTTCCAGGAAACAATTGAAAATGGCAATTTTATACAAAAATTCAAAACAGCCAGTGAGAAGTTGTTACGATCTGGGGAAGCATATCTGGCATCAGATATTCCACCGGAAGAGAAGGATCTTGTCAGGAAATTCCTTGAAGATAAAGAGGCTCAGGTGAGGAGACTTTGGTGAATAAAACTGTTTCTAGTACTGGCTCAGCGATTGGTACATCAGGCTAAGCATTGGAAACACAATTGCTATCGCTCCTCTAATTACTCTGTACTCAATGATGAACGTTCTCCAAAAAGCTGACTGTCAAGTCATATTCCCGGCTTTTTTTCTCGCCGGTAAAATTATTAAAATCTCATCCCAACTATCCTGTGGGGATAGTTACGTGCGAGAGGATTGCTGGACTCCACGTCGCTGTAGGGTGGTTTACGCAACCACTGGTTGGCTGCGGCTTCCTCCACCATAAAGTCCATGCATCTGAACCAAATAACTGGCTAACTAACTAACTAATCCCATACCAGACATGGACTGGTAACTGGACGAGAGGCCGTGGTTTGACGAACGATTTTCCTTCAGGATAAATGTGTACATCTTATCTCATCCCTTTCTTAATTATAAACTTTCCTTATCGCCAGGTTGCCAATGTTAGCATCGAGCTTCAAAGTGTTGAGAGCATGCTGGAAGAAGTGGGGGCAGGATGGCAACAATATGAAGAATGTGTTGCCAGATTACAACCTTGGTTGGACCAGGCTGAACAAATCATCAAGACTAAAGGAAAGAAAGGGAAGGTAAGGGGTTAATTATTTATTGGTATGTGGTACTAACAGGGACGGCCAGTACTGAATAATTCACTTTTTCGAATACATTTGAAAATATTATTTTGGGTTTGGGTAGGGTATCGTATTCCTTGCAAGAAAACGGTGGTAACGGTCACCGCGAAACCGTATAAATCCCTAAAAAACGAAGCACCTTGCTGATGGCGAAAAGTTCGTATTATTTGGAATTTTTCAAAAAATTAGCTTTAATATTCGATTATTCCTTTCATTTAGGACAACTCCAAATGCCAATAGGAGTTAATGAGCCAAGTTGCCTCATATTTGTTTATCCGACTATGGTAAAAAACCACCAACAATACAAATTCTTTATGAATTAATTAATGAAATATGGGTTTATTTGGTGGTACGAGTCAAGTCTTGCGAGAGCTGCTATACTGTTGATTTTTGACCATCGTGGCCTTAGCTTCAAACTGTTCCCAGAACCCAGGAAATATATGGAAATTTTTAATAGATTTTTTTTGATGTTACACCTTCAACATGGTGGATTGAAAAATATTATCCCCACCAGTGCCAAAATAAGAAAAGTAGTAATTATCCGGTTAGGGTGTTGGAATGCAGATTATTCTGAAAATTCGAATTGGCAAATTACAACCTTGTCGTAATCCAAATCGGACAATTACTAATTTTTTGGTGTTCCCGAAGTATGCGAACCAAGATGGCGGACATCGGAACGTAACATGGGTAACAGGTTAGGGTTAGGCGATAATTTTTTTCCAATTTTCCTCATTTTAGTCCTATTATCAGTTCGAAGACTAGCCAAGAGCCTCCCGTAGTATTTATAGCTAAAATTATGGCCTAACCCTAACCTAGTACACATATTACATTCCGATGTCCGCCATCTTGGTTCGCATACTTCGAGAGCCCCAATTTTTTTATATTAAATCTTGCATTTTTGCATTGGTGGCAGAGGCTTTGCTTTGTACAAATAATCCTTATGATGAATACTAATATAAATATTTTTCTAAATTTTCTAGGATTTTTTTCATGACCTTCCATCCTGGGTCCAGACGCATGCAACAATGAATGCAAGTGGAAATTTTCTAATTGAAACTTGTGATGAAAACGTCAGTAAAGATGTCAAACAACAATTGTTACTGCTGAATGGAAGATGGAAACAGGTCTATGAGGTAATAATGAGATTGAGGCATTATTGCTCACCCTGAGAAAGACTATAGGCGTATTAAATTATGAGTCTGATATCTTTAATCTGTGCCGAGTAAGCAATAATAATATTTAAATTTCAACGATAGTTACAATTTTGACTGTTCCTCTTGAAATTTAATTATAAGTTTCTCAAAGATAAGTTTCTTTTTTCTGAGTGAGTGTGTCTGACATTACTTTGAGCAAATTTTATCAAATAAGTCAGCTTTTATCAAAAAACGATAATTTCTTTTCTAAATCTCAGGCCTGCAAAGGCTCATCTCAGTGGATGCCCCTCACTTTGCTGAGAGAATGAATATTTTTACTTCTGAGTGACTGTGTGTGACGTGGCCATTGCTTGAGCAAATTCTGTTGAAAATATTATCAAAAACGATAATTTCATTTTTCAAACCTCAGGTCTGCAAAGGCTACATGAGAGAAGAGGAGCTTGCTAGAATGCGAGAGGAGTTTCACATTGGAATCAGTGGTTTACAGAAATGGTTGGATAATGTGGAATCGACTGTAACGCAACCTACTTCAATGGAATATCATCTTGTCAAAGAGAATCTACAAGATATTGAGGTTGAGATTATTCTCTTACGAATATCTTGGGTTCGAACCCCATGTCTGCCATCTGGCTTTGGGTGTTAATTGTGTTGGCGATGTCAAACTGGTCTTTCCAAATATAGAATCATCTTACATAGTCGGTCATGTACGAAAAACATCTTGACAACACGTGATTGACAATCGTTACGTCATTATCACATTTTTGGCGCGTATATCTTCGTAACAATTCAATTATACTGATATCTTAATTATACGTACCAGTACCGATATCATCCCCTTGCTGGCGCTCTCTTCTTTTGGCCCGCGAATATCCTTTTTTATTTTTGGATTTTGGCCTCAGGCCAATGAACTTTGGTAAAAACTGCTGCACTATCCAGACAGGTTACTAGAAAACATGCCTTGTTTATCAATAAGAATAAGCCTTCCTGTTGATTTTCCGATGATCAATTTCATACTATTATTGACAACTATTCAGCAACAATACTTACAAACAAATATTCATACATTCCAGGATATCCGAGATGAGATTCACCAAGCAGAAGAGAAGTATAAACAAGTAAGCAAACTGGCACAAGGATTAGTCAAAGACACACCACAGGAAGAAGTCAATGAAATGTTGGTCACTATGACTAAGATTAAAGATAGACTGCTAAAGGTAGGTTGGGATGTATAAAATGAATATTTAAAATTGGTGCATGAAAATGTGTGAAATAGGCTTTATGTGGGAGTAATGGGGATACAGTTCTTACATAAAAGGGCTAAAGAATGTTATACAGCATAATACTGTATATCAGTGATCACAATCTTTTATGGCCCGTGGTTGCCTTTCAGTGGTTTTCAGCACTCCTGAAACCCCCCTGTTTATCATTCCAATGGTATTTTTGATTGGTAGATTCCGAATTATGTACAAACAATTCATGCTTAATAAAGTGAGAACACTCTGTAAAATACCCTTATCAAGCAATGAAACTGGGAAGAATTGGGAGTTTTCTTCTCAATTGAAAAGTAAAATCAGTTTTGCGCTTAGCATTGTGCTCACCCTCCAACTGCTCTGTGGCCATCTTAGAGAGGATCCTTCTAGAATGTAAAAAAAGCATTTTTTCGTATCAAAAATAGCAATTTTTCATAGGTTGAAATGCTTTTTAGACCCTCGAGACTTGAAAACCACCGTTTTCCGGTCTCCGGCTGTACCCGCTTGCTAGCTTTCTCGGTCTAACTCGGCAATTAAAAATTTTTCAGAACACCCCCTCCCCTTTGAAAATTCTTGGCTATGCCCCTGCACATTGTACAAATATAAATTTTAATATATTATATAATCTTCGACTTCTTATTGGCATGTACAACTATGATCCATGCAAGCCTTGTCGTTTAGGAATATTTACTAGCGGTCCCCAACCAGTTATTGTATTCTAGCTAAAAAAAATAGATTTTCTTCTGCATTAACCCTTTTCCCACCTCAAAATTCTAATTGACAACTCATTATATTATTTTGTCACATTAACCCTCTCTATACCCTGGATTTTCCAAATTAACCCATTGTCTTTTTTTGCTCCCCAGGCCAGAGGTGATGTCAACCAGTACATTGGTAACAGCAGTAAGATGTTGGAACCTTTACAAGACATTGGAGAAAATCTGGCAACCCTGGATGGGTGGCTGATAGAAGCTCAAGAAATATTAAATGAATATGGAAATTCTGATAAAGATGTGGAAAGCATGTACCAGAAACATCAGGTTAGATTGTTTTATTTATTTGAGATTGCATGAAGCAAGGCTGAGTGCAGTTGTTCCCAAATTTTTTATATAGTTAGTTCTCTGTATCGAATTACCAGAATCCCAATTACCCCTTTCATTAAAATAAAAGTCACAAATCATACAACTCGATCAACATTGTTAGACAACTAGACGAGTGGTCGTAGTTGGTTATGTGATCAAGTCGTTTTATCTTCATTCTTCTTCTCTAGGATAAATAAGGAAAATCTTCGACTTCGCTTTTTTATGCCTGTTATGTCGTATATAAGTCTCTGTATAATACCCTCTACCATGTAGGAAGATACTTTATTTTGGAAAGAAAGTAGATATATGAGTCCAATCGCCTTTCCTCTCTTAAAAATGTTTTCATTGTTTTCAGCAATTCTTTGCCAAAACGAAGGAACAGCAGATGAAACTTGCTGAACTGGGACAAGCGCTGGAAAAAACTAAGAGTCTTGCTTTACCAGGTAATGTAACAAAATATAAAATAACAACAAGAACATCTTAATAACGCAGACATTTAGTAAACTCATGACCTGCCTTCTTATGATAAAATATATGATGTGTGATCTATCTAGTGAACTAATGTTACCCCGTCTTGTTTAAAATAACAAATTAGTCATCAACCAGGTATGGTTAGAGTTTCCAATGATTTGAAATTTACATTTTCAGCGCAATCTGCCTTCTTAACCCTAATCTAACTGGACAATTATTAATTTGTTATTTTAAAATGTTGCGGGTTAATCATTGCAAAGAACTGAATATAGGCCCCGTGAATATTATCAATTTGCTAACAAATCCCAGAATTATATCATTTGTTATAGAATACGTCCTCGTAACAGGTCGAAGCATTTGAGCACCAAACGCTTAATATCACAGTCCTGGTGCACAAAACTAAGCCAGTTATAAGCACCATTAAAATAATATTATAAACCCTAATCCAACTGGACAATTATTAATTTGTTATTTTAAAATGTTGCGGGGTGATATTAGTGGGGGAAGGGGTAACTGGAGAAGATCACAAAACTCTTTTTACTGGATACTGTAAAATATCCCTAAATTAGGCCACTATACTTGACAACATGATATTACAGGAAGATATTCAAGTTCCCTTATTTCGAAAAAAAGGAAAAATTGTAACGCCATTGTTTCTCTTTTTTTCACCCAGGCATGGACACTGCTCAATTACAGGACAAAGTCACTGAAATATCTGCTAAACTTCAGCTCTGCGTTTCTCAAGCCAATGAGTGGAAACCAAAACTCAAGGCTGGAACAGAAACATCTCGTGAATATAAAAAACATCTTGGTTCCATTCAAAGATGGATACAGCATGCTGAAAAGATATTGAGTAAACCATTGGACGAGGAAGCACCTAGAATGCTTATGAAAGAACATCAGGTGTGTTATTTATGAGTCATTTTTATGTTTTCACTCTGAAATAATGGAAAGAACAGGATTTACATATTTATCCTGGGGGGAAGGGGGGGGGGGGGAAGAGATAAGACGGCTAAATCATATGCCAATCCACGACCTCTCGTCCGGTTACTAGTCCATGTTGGATATGGGATTAGTTGGCCAGTTATTTGTTTTTGATACATGGACATGGTGGAGGAATCTGGAATAATATATGTGTATGCGTACTTTCAGTGCACCTTATGTACCATTAGCCCACGTGAAAGTCGCACTAGCAAGCAGGCTTATGATTCTTTAAATTAAATAAATTAAAAAATTAACGAAAAGGTTTTAGGCATATCTCCAGATAGGAATAGAGAAATCAAAAAAATGGGAATAAATATATTGAATAAGGTTGGGAACAACTGTGCAATGAGATGTCTTTTTTTTATATTAATTACCTTTCGATTTCTTAAATTCCCATTTTAACACTTTTCTTTTTTGTAGGAATTTTTTGCCGAAGTTGATCCGTCCCTTTTACCAGCCTTTTTGGAAGCCAGTAAAAAGTTACAAGAGTCGCAGATATCGGAATCTGAGAAGTCAAAGGTCAATGAAATGACCAATCAAATGCAACATGAATATTCTTCAGCCTTGAAAAGATCAACACAGAGATTATTGAAGCTTAAGTAAGTTGGCATTGGGGTATTTGGTTGTATTAAGACAAGGGTTACTAATTTTCTCAAGCTTGTGATGCATGTACTCGCTCAAGGATGAGTTTTAACTTCTGAGTGAGTGCGCATGTGACTCTGCTCAGAGATGAGTCTCTTTTACTTCCGAGTTAGTGTGTGATACCTTGCTCAGATATGAATCTCCCGGTGACCGTACATTTGAACCCACGTACATTTGAACCCAGTGTATATTCGCGGGTTCAATCTATATGCGGGTGATAAACCCATGGGTTAGGGTTAGTATGGGTTCAAATATCCGTAAAACAACAAAAATTTCTATAGGTGCAATAGTATGCCGGTGCAATCGTCGTGGGTTCAAATGTACGTGGGTTCAAATGTAATGGAACCGAATCTCTCATACATGCATCTGTGTGATTTCATGTTACTTTGCTCAAAAGATGAGTGTTTTTTACTTCTGAGTGAGTGCGCATTTAACCTTGCTCAGATATGAATGTTTCTTTTATATTCGAGTGTGTGTGTGTTACTCACCCTGTTAATGAGTTTCCTATTCATAAGTCTGAGTGAGTGCATGTTACTTTGGTAAGAGACGAGTCTCCTCCCATATTAAGTGAATGAAAATGAATTTGCTTATAGGCGAGTCTTTTTCTTCTGTGTGGGCGGGGCAACTTTGCTCAGAGATGAGGTTTTTTTTAGTTCTGAGTGAGTGAGAGTGTGTAACACTGCTTAGAGATGAGTCTTCTGTACATAAATCTGCTTAGGATAAGTATTTTGTACTTATGATTATACATGGATTCGCTCCTCATTAAATAATACTTTTTTAGGTTCTTGGAAGCAGAAGATGAATTCAGTGCATTGATAGCAACTTGCAATATGCAACTTGATGATGAAGAGAATCAACTTAGCAGTAAAACTAAAGAAAATGAAGAATTACTGGTGGAACATAAGGTTAGGTTTTAATCAATTCCTGTAAATTTATTTCACACAGGGAGATAGCCAGGGTGGTAAGGGTCACAACCAGTGTTCCCTCTAAGGTGCGCGCGCACACAGCTTTCAGAGGCTGCGCACACGCATAGATTTACTGCGCACAGACGTATTTCGATGTAATGTAACAATGTTCTCGGTTGGCAGGTTGAGAAAGTTTGTTGTTGGCCCACCCATTACCCGGTTAGAACGCCAAAATTTCTTCATTGGTTTTTGCATAAATATTTGTCATTTCCAAAAAAGTGCGCCCACACCAAAATTTCTGGGCACACATACTACAAAAAATAGAGGGAACATTGGTCACAATCCCCTTTTAAAATTTAGAAACAAGCCTTTTTCTGTATCAAAGCAATTTTTTGTAGCTTGAAATGTTTTTTACTTTAAAGACTTTTGAGGGTCTATTCTAGGGGTAGGCAACATACGGCCCGCGACGAGATTTTGACCTGTCCTCTGACTGTATTCAACCATACTCTGTAATGTTGTCCGACGCATCATTCCTAAAAGTTGCCGATTTTTTGTAATAATCCGGCCCGACGAGGACTTTATTTTTCCACATCTGGCCCGTCGATTAGAGAAGTAGCCCACCCCTGGTTTATTCTCATGTCCAACTACTACTGTAGGCATTTTTTCAAACATGATTCAGCCTTCTTATCAACTGTCTTTCCCCCATGCTAATATTCAAATTCCAGGCAAATTTTGACGATTCTTTCAATCAATTTGATAAACTCATGATGTAACTCATTTGCTATTCTCACTTCAAATCTGGAGGGGAGACTACAAATTTAAATATCTTATACATCTGTCATCTAAACAACCTTGCTCTCCTTTTACACATGATATTCTATATTTCAGGCAAATTTTGATGAGTCTTTCAAGCAATTTGACAAACTTATGAACACAATGGAAGCACTTTGCGACAATCTGAGGGAATCCGTACCTGGTGATCATACCTGGACAAAGAAACTGACGGAATTAAGAGAGGAACACGAAGATGTAGTGACTGCTGAGGAAGAAATGTTCATGTAAGTAGCAGTATCAGTGGTTATTTTAATTCCCTCATATGCATACTTTGGCGCTCCAGAAGTGTGTGTACCAATATGGAGGTAACTAATTTTGTTTGCCTACTTTACATCAAGTTGTGTAAGGAACTGAAGCCTATGGGCAATGGTATATTCTTTTGACTAATACAGACAGTCCCCGAACTCGTTATAGAACTAAAATAAGAAAAATCGGAATAAAAGCATGGCCTAACCCTAACTTGGTACACATACTACGGGAGTACCCATATTTTTATATTCATGAGTCACCACTGCGAAGAAAGCAGCTAGACAACCTTTTTTCTTTTATGGCCCACGTTCGTGCACAAAAATTTTGTGGCCCATCAACTTTCTCATGCAAGGAAAAAATGAAAAATTGTTTCATCAAAAATAGACACTTCCACGTTTTTTAATCAAAAAGAAAATTACCACTCGGTTCCAAATCTGTTAGACCTGCAATCCCCTTATGGATTGCATTGAATCTCCGACGCTATTTCTTATGTGTGATTTTCACACTTTTTCAAAGCTTTTCAAATATTCAGTCATATATTAGTTATGTTTAACACAATTCTGATAATTTTTAGGGCACACTTAGCAAATTGTCGCGGCACACTAGTGGGCCCACTTTAAAAACCGCTGCGCTAGACAATTGTGGTGAATGAACCTATATATCAGCAATTCCCAAACGAGGACCACCAAGAGGCCAAAAATCATTTGAAGGGGGGCCACAATGCTAGCTGCAAAACTAATTTTGCTTTCCTTTTACAAGAAAACTCCCCTGTTCTTCCTAGTTTCATTGCTTGATGAGGTTATTTCACAGTGTTTTCACTTTGTAGAGCATGAATTGTTTGCACATAATGGGATTTGGAATCTACCAAATAAAATAACACTATAAATACCACCGAAATGATAAACATGGAAGCCTCCAGTGCTAAAAACCCCGTACGGGGGCCAAGAGCCGTGAAAGGTTGGGAACCTCTGCCATATAGAATCCTGCATCTGCTACAGCAGTAGTTTAAGAATCCTATTTGGTTTATAGCAGGGGTCTCAAACTCAATTTACCCGGGGGCCGCCGAGACGGAGCCTTAGTGAGTCTTTTTTTTTACAATAAAAGCATTAAACTTACAAAGTTAAATCTTTTTCTCTGTTTTTCTATATATACGCAAAACATGTCAAAAACATAAATGTAAGTAATATGGACCTGCGATGGACCTTTCCCCCGAGCATCTACTTCCTTGTTTATTCCGTAACATTGGCTAATCAGCAAGATCCAAAAAGTGACAGTTGAGACCCCTGGTTTAGAGTCTTATTCACAATGCTTATGTAGACAATCCTCTTTTTCAGGAGACTGACAGAACTGCCTGAAAAATGGCAGGAATTTGACAAGAAAATGGCGACAGTGAAAGATTGGGTGAAGCAGTCGGAAAATGTGATGGAAACCGTTCATAAACCTGTGGAAGCTGATTCAGATTATTTCAATGTGAGTTTTATACGTACTGACGTGGGTTTGAACCCATGATCTTCCGCCTTCCATACCCAGAGCTTCTTTCTGATGGCTCAATCATTTGGCGAATCGCGGCCTCTCGCCACCTGTTACCAGTCCATGTTGGGTATAGGATTAGTTAGCCAGTTATTTGTTTTCGGATGCATGGAATTATAAGACGTTCCGGTACATCTTTCTATGCCCAAAGAATACGCTTGCTATCGAACCTTTTGAATACCGAATGGTTCACCGGTCGGTTATGGCTTCCTCCACCATCAAGTCCACGCGTCCGAAACAAATAACTGGCTGACTAACCTCATACTCGACATGGACTAGGAACCATACGAGAGGCCGTGGTTCGCTATATGGTTAAGCCGTCTTATCAGCGTCCCTCTCGTCCGGGATAAATATTTAAATCCTATCCTAGTAATTCTTAGTAGGACCAGAGTTCTGGATAATTATTTTCTAATGGAAAGAGATTTTATTCAACTTGGACTTATAAACATATATCGTGGTAACCAACTCATTCTAACACACTAATATTTCAGACACAGCGGAAAAAATTCAAGGCGATTTCATCAGCAAAAGACGAGCATTTGAGCACCCTCGAGTGGTTGAGTGCGACCCTTGTTGACCTTGCAAAGCACTCTCGACCAGAGGATATTGAGAAACACCAAGAGACACTCATGAGACTCACGGCGAGTAGTAAATCGGTCATTAACGCTCTCCCCATCACTGAGAAAAGAGTGGAATCCGTTCAAATGTGCTTGGAGTATAAAGATAGGATACAGGTTGGACTAACTTTATGTTCCCTCTGAAGAAAGCTTTATGCAAGCTGTGCATTTGCTAGACCAGGGCTACCCAACTATTTTTATCAAAGATTCGCATACAAAACTTCAAAATTACTTGGGTCCCTTTTTCCAGAAATTATATTTCGGCATTCTTAAACACGCACTTCTTCGGCCGGTTATAGCAAATCAAGATTGTTTATTATGGTGTTATATATATTCAAAACCATAAAAGTCATTTTATAAAAGGGAATTTAAAAAGTGGGGCTAATGATCTAAAATAAGGAATCAGGTGCGGTCCGAATCCAATACTAAGAGGTACGTTTTCGGACCGTGGTCCGCCAGTTGAGCAGCCCTGTGCCAGACCACTGGTGGTCATTTATTGAAAAAAATATCAGGAGATTACTTCAATAATTTCAATTAATGTGGTAGCTGCCTTTGTTCATTGGCAACTAGCTGTTTAATGTCTGGTGGAGTGGCAGATGATGCACAACGAATGTCTGATTCGACATAAAGTTGGCCTAGCGCTCGAAATTTGATTCTTTACGGTTTTTACTTTGGATTTATTTCCCCTTAAAAAGGGCCGTGTTTTGTCACATGATTAAGCCGTCTTGTTACCTTTCCTCTCCTCCTGGGATAAATATAAAAATCCTATTCTCCACCATATTCTGTTTCAGGAAACTGTCTCTGCGATTGATCGAGAGCTTGAAGAAATCAATAACTTCAATGAAGAAATGAAATCAAAACCTGTTGATGGTTGTGAAGATGCTGAAAAGACTTTGAGTCATTTCCAGGTAAATATCCTCTTCAATTTTGATGCTGTTTTATTATTATTAATCATTATACCATTCTGTCATACCAATCATTAAATCTTAGTTTGGTACCTATGCTATTTTCTGGTTTGTTTGACGCAAAGTGGACATGACATGTTGATTATTTTGTCTGGTATTGTGAAAAATTGCTTTTCTTTTGAACTAATGAACCGTTTTTTAAATTTTCTGATGTGGCAGTCTGGTGATAGGTATGGTATTCCGGTACTGATTATAATTGTATGGTACTAATTATGGCATTACTATATACCAGTAATGGTATTTCTGAATGGTTGCTTGGTAATTGTTTTAGTCATTCATAAACCCAACTGGTACAGTGAATGGTACATACCAATCATAATATCCTAATTCTGGTACTTATGGTATTTGGGTATCTGTTACTTATTAATGGACTTATTAATCTAACTATTTTGGTTCTGGTAATGGTTCTGGTATTCTAGGCAGTAAGGTAGTAAGACGTTTTATTTGAAGCTGTTAGAACGCTTTTTCAAATTTTCAAATTTTTACTGAATGCTGTGGTACCCAATATCAAAAAGCAATAATAAGTCTAAGTTTATTTTGACTCCATAATCAGACATAATAGACAATAGAGTAATTGATAATAATCTTGATTTTTTGAAAAAAAAATTATCATATTTTGTTTTGTTGTAAATTCAGGCATCAATATTTTGAAATTGTTCAATCAAACCAAACCACAATTTCTTAACTTTTATACACTCCAATATAAATCACTTTTACTTATCCCTGAAGCACCACTTAACTGTCTGTATTACTCCGCAATGTTCCGCTACTTGAAATATTAACAAGCTCATTGAGAACAGATCTGGACTTTGTCCAATAACTTTTCACACATTCTGGTTATCTTGATGAGTGTCTAGGTGAACTATTGAGTTTGACACTTTTGTATTATGTATACGAGATATGGGAGTTTGCTCACTGCAGAATATTCTATGTTATATTTGTGAAGAGAGTTTGATTAATTAGTTATGTTTATATAAGTGTATGTGTTATTCAGTTTATGGGTATGTGTGGGCTATTTTATTTAATTTGTTTACTGAGTTATGTATATGTGTATACCAGTATATACGTGTGTGTGAGATAATTTATTTATAAAGTATATTATGTTATATGTATAGCTAGTGTATGGGGACTCCCGAAGTATGTGAACCAAGATGGCGGACACCGGAACGTAGTATGTGCACCAGGTTAGGGTTAGGCCATAATTTTATTTCAATTTCCCTTATTTTAGTTCTTCTTTGAGTTCGGGGACTAGCCAAGTGACTCCCGTAGCCGTAGTATTTGTACCTGAAATTATGGCTTAACCCTAACCTGGTACACATACTACGTTCCGGTGTCCACCATCTTGGATCACATACTTCGGGAATACCAGTGTATGTGGAAACTTTTAAATGTGCTAGTGCATACCAGTGTGCATGTAAGCTAATTTTGCTTAATTGCTTAGTTTGCTTAACTGGTTTATGTGTGTATTAGTGTATGTGTTATTTAGTTTATGTGTGGGTATGTGTGAGCTATTGCATTTAATTTGTTCACTGACTCATGTGTATGTGTATACCAGTATATATGTGTGTGTGAGATAATTTGTTTAAAAAATATATGTGTATGTGCATACTAGTGTGTGTGTAAGCTAGTTTTATGTGTGTATGAACTATGTTATGTTCATGTAATACAGAACTACATAAAATTTATAGATATGCATTTCGCCAAACTTTGAAATTGGGAATTCTACATACCAACGTACCGTACCGTATTTGCTCGTTTTGTAGCCCATATTTTTTTCAACCAACTCACTAACCGGGCCTTTATTCAAACCGGCCCTTATTCAAGCACGGGCGCTTGTTATTTTCGATCGTTACAATAATTAATATATTGTTATTTCCAGTTCTCAAGTATGCTTTAAATGAGAATAATGAAAATTTTGACTTTTTCTACGCACCGCAGGTAGAAATCCGCGAAAAAAAAAAAAAGCGGTGCGATGCCTTATCAATATTGAAACAACGCACTTGGGTGTCGCGACGCCCAGTATGAGAACCATGGTGTTACGTAATCAATGCTATCTGTTATGTACTGGGACGCCTAAGGCGTGAGTGTTATCTACCGGCGCTTAAAATTCAACAGCGTTGTGACAAAAGCGCTTCTTATTTTCTATTGTTCTCTACCACTGAAAAATCAGCTTTTACATCGGGCGGGTATTCAAGCACCGGCTCTTATTTATTTTTATGTTCTGTTCACACGGGCGGCTATTCAAACGGGCCCTTAATCAAGATCGGGCGGTAAAACGAGCATATACGGTATACTAGAGCAGGGGTTCCCAAGCTGGGGTCCGTTGACCCCTGGGGGTCCGTGGTGACTGCACAGGGGTCCGCAGCAATATGGAAAGAGTTTGAAACATATACAAATAGATCATAATCTTATCGAATTGTCGTTAGCCTGTCAGTATTCAACGTTACTTACGATAGTATGTATTGATTCAGACTATAAGTATTTAACGTTAGATGTATTGAATCAGACTTTCATGAGTTTTTTTTCATCAAAGGAAACATTATCCTTTCTCGTTGGTTAAGCACATAAATTGATACGGCATAGGATGGAAGTCTGTCATTAATAAGATTCACAAACAGAGATCCGCCGCTCTAAAAGTTTGGGAAACTCAGTACTAGAGCACACACGCATTTCAGGCTTGAGCAAGCTTTATCAAAACTAATCGTTAACATCCCTTTTCTCCTCTTGCATACTTAAATAGTAAAATATCAATATATGATTCTTAGATTTGTTGTTGTTTAGATAGATTTATATAGCCATATTCTTCTTTTCATCTGCTTTTTTCAATATATAAAGGCTTTCAACTTAGAAACTTTTTCAACTTAGAAATACTTTTAGATGTATTTATTTTTCATGATTGAAATGATATAGTTTTTCAAATTCAGGCAAATTAATTTATTCAACCGTCCCCTTTGCAGGGTGTAGAAATAGAACAACATATTTTTGTCATATGTTAATAAAAACAGCTTTAAAAATGTAAAATAGAACCTTTTATAAATTGTGATTCAAGATGTACCGTGTCACTAAGGTAATTTTTTCTTATGCATTCTTCACATAAGAGAAGAGCATTTTGTACTTATTAAACTCACAAATGATTGGTAGTTGGGGCATACAAGATGACTGCGCGATACTTACTATCATGAAGAAACTAGCATGCCTCTTGTGGGGTTAGTTTTCATTGGCTTGGGGAACTCTCAACCCATTACAAATATCAGAAAGTTGGCTTCGTGAGTTCATTCCCCTAGTCCAGGGATACTCAACTATTTTTACCGAAGGTCCGCAAACAAAACTTTAAAATTATTTGGTTCCGGTGTTTCCAGAAATTATATTTCGGCATCTTTAAACGCACACTTCCTCGGCCGACTAATGATTATTAGCTACCGGTAATCAAGATTGTTTCATATGGTATTATAGTTCTTTTCATATATATTTAAATCTATAAAAGTCATTTTTATAAAACGAAACTTCAAAAGTGAGGCTAATGATCCAAAATAAAGAATTAGACGCGGTTCGAATCAAATACTCAAAAGGTCCGGATTCGGACCGCGTTCCGCCAGTTGAGTAGCCTCGCCCTAGTGCAACACCCCCACTCAGATTGTAGTAAATTATTTTGTACAGCATCTGTCAAGTTTGGGTTTGATAATTTTGTTATAACAGTTATAGATTTCTAGTTGGAACCCAATATTGTGACCAAAATCTTATCAAAATAACATAATCCTTTACCATGAAATAGCAAGTATATTCAAACCAACAAGGTACTCCAAAAAATCCAAAAATCCAGGAACGTATTCTGAAAAGAATATTACTTTGGGGCTCCCGAAGTATGCGAACCAAGATGGCGGACATCGGAATGTAATATGTGTACTAGGTTAGGGTTAGGCCATAATTTTAGGTATAAATACTACGGGAGGCTCTTGGCTAGTCTTCGAACTGATAATAGGACTAAAATAAGGAAAATTGGAAAAAAATTATAGCCTAACCCTAACCTGTTACCCATGTTACGTTCCGATGTCCGCCATCTTGGTTCGCATACTTCGGGAGCACCATTACTTTTGTGCAAATCAATCTCGATTACTGAAGTATATCATACACAAACAGAAGTTCATGTGTTTTCTCCAATTTCTTGGAAGTAATTAAGAAATTCATTAGTTTCGTTTGTTGGTGATTCAAATTTCATGATAACAGATTATGTTATTGTCATATATCGCTCTAATACTATCGGACACATACGGATCCAAATCAATTAAGGAAAAAGTGAAGTTCTCTCGAAACTTTATACTTTACGTTTATACATCTTTGGCTACTGGTTTAACTATTTCGATATTTTTTTTTAGAACATGATGAATGCACTCGAAGCTATCTCAGTGCAAGTTAACGAAGACGTTAATCTCGGGAAAGAACTTCACGCTGATGAGCAGTGTCCTACGTTTCTCTACTCAGAAGTTTCAGGACTTGAGAAGAAATGGGATAAACTACAGGATGTGGCCGCTCAAAGGGAGAAAGAGTTAGAGGTTGGTCTTGTTTTGTGTGGCGCTATGCATAGGCATAGCCTGGGTGCAGGGGCATAGCCAGAAATTTTTGGAAGGGGGGAAGGGGGGGAGTCTAAAATCTCTGATTGCCAAGTTAGATCGTAACAGCTAGCAGGATACAGAAAAATGCATTCTTTTACATTTCAAAAAGAGGTGACCGACCCACAATCTGCAAAGTGCCACTGTACATTATCTTCAAAAGGCCTCGTGCCCAGTGGTGGGATTCACATTTTTTGTCAGCCGGTTCCATCACGAAAGTCATATTTTGTGGCCGGTTCTGTTACATGTTTTTTTAGTAAAGCCAACCAGTTCGCTGATCTCATTAAAATACGTGAGACGGTGCTATAGAACCGGTGTGAACTGGCTGAATCCCACCACTGCTCTTGTCGAATTGTGTAGTTTTGGTGTTAAATATCTTTCTCTCTTCGGGTTGTTAATTAACAATTAGCTACTCATTAGAGTTCGGTGGTGGGCATGGGACTTGAACTTGGGAACTCTAGCATGTTACGCCAGTCTCCAACATGTTCACCGCTTGGCCATCTGCTAACAAATGTGCTAATGTAGTCGATCCTCAAAAAGACAATTAATCGTAAAATTTTGGCATTGAAAATCCTTCTCTCTCTAGAACAATTAACACAAAAGGTTACAACTGGCTACTTACTTTGAGTTAGGTGGCGGGCATGGGACTTGAACTTGGGAAGTCTAACATGTTATGCCAGTGTCCAACATGTTTACCACTAAGCTACTGTGGATAATACTGAATAAGACACTCGATTCATCGTCAAATTTTGACATTGCATATCTTTCTGTCTCAAGAACATTATCAGAAATTGTCAAGTGGCAGCTGACCCTAGGCGAGCCTTTAGATATTGTTTGTGATTGCTATTTCCATGGTTTCATATTCAAGTATATGTTTGAGTGTCTTAGGTATTGTAGATTTGTTTCCTCTTTTAATGTAGTTACGAAACTGTATTTTCTGCAAATTGATATAAAAGCGGTTGTTATTTGGTAAGGTACGTATTGTTTTATAAGTTGGTTATCAGATTGAAATTTTTCTGAAAAAAAAAAATCTCTTAGTTTGTTAAAGGGAGGAGTGGTCTTATTCGCAAAGTTGTGTTGTGGTTACGCTTATGTCGGAGAGTTTTTTTGGAGAATATGATTATAGTAAGCGACTTTGGGTCTTGCGTACGCAATACGTTTAATATGGCTATTTCGCATTCTCGTGAAACTGTCATTAGCTGGAGGAGTGGTAGCCATCTTTGTGGCAAAGTTGTGTTGTGGTTACGCTTATGTCGGAGAGTTTTTTTGGAGAATATGATTATAGTAAGCGACTTTGGGTTTTCCGTACGCAATACGTTTAATATGGCTATTTTGAATTCTTGTGAAACTGTCATTAGCTGGAGGAGTGGTAGCCATCTTTGTGGCAAAGTTGTGTCGTAGTTACCCTTATGTCTGATAGCTTTTTCATTTTGAGATTCTGATTATGAATTAAAAAGCCCAGCTGCACACTAACACAAATATATTTCTGTAACCGGGTCTGAGGAAGTCTGACTTTGGTCGGACGAAATGTTACAGAAATACATTTTTGTTGGTGTGCAGCTGGCACTTTAATTGGATAGAATAGTCATTTTATTCCAGCTACAGTATCCTTGCAGTATTCGCATACGGATCCATTAGCATAAAGGCATAGAGAAAAGATAGTGAGTTTGTCTAGCACACTGGTTCTCAACCAGTGGGCCATGGCCCACTGCTGGGCCATAGAGTCTTTTCAAGTGGCCACAAGCCTATCAAAAATTACTATTATTATTGGAAAGTTTAGTTTCTTTTGTGTCATTATAGTCAAATTTTTATTGTAGTAGCAATGAATGATGCTGCTGCTTTTCATTCTAATTATTAAAATGAAAGTATTTATTTTGGCAAAAATAGTCTTGTTTTTTTTGTAGTTTTTCCCTTGCATGAGAAAGTTAGTGGGTAACAGAATTTTTATGCAACGAAAGTGTGCCACGAAAGAAAAAAGGTTGAGAAGCACTGCCTAGCACAACCCAATTCAAAGTTGATTATGAATGTTTTGGTCTGATTACTTTACCAGAAACTTGTAATTATTGTGCCATTACTTGTTGTTACTTAGTAATTATTATTTGTTTACATGTTTGTGTTAGGGTGCTGCCTTGGTGATGGTGCAATATAGTTTGCAAAAGGCCTGGACGAAGGATCTGTACATGTGTATTTGCCTTAAGGACAAATAAACTTTTTATTGGTGATATTATGCGACTTTTGGTTTATTGATACGTCTTTTATCTCTTTTATAGAGGATTAGTTGAATTTGATTGAAAGCGTGAGTTAATCGTATTCTTTGTTAGAGAGTAGATCGCCATTGAATGGTAAGAATTTGGGCTGCCTCATTCGTTAAAGTTTAGTTTGAGTAGGAAAAATTTTTGCAGAAAAATAAGTTACAGACAGTATTTGATAATATTTGGCAGGTTACTGTCCTGATTGCATCTCTTGGTATCTTGTATGGGTTTGCAGATTGGAATCACATGGGGACCAATTATATGCGAGAGGATTATTGGGACTCCCCATTGTCAGGGGTTGGTTTTTGTAACTACAGCTCAGTTAAATATCCCTCCATCATGAAGTTCACGCATATGAAACAAAGAACTAGCTAACTGAGGCCTTGATTCACCATTTGATTAGGCCGCCTTGGTCGGCTTTTCTCTCCCACAGGATAATTTTGTAACATCATATCCATTGTGGATTTTCATGCCTGTCTGTTATATAACAAAATCTTTATTTTCACACGCAGGAAACAGTGCAAGCATGGAAAGCACACACAGATATTCTGACGCCGATCCAAGATTTTATTTCACAAACAATTCCTGTCATTGAAGCCAGACTACGACTCAGTAACATCAACTCTATCAATCAAGAAATTGCAACCAAAACTGCGATGCAAGACCAAGTGGTAAGACGATTAGAATTTTTTTTTCTTATTATTTGGAATTTGACACTTCAGAACTGTTTTTCTTAATCATAAAACAGTGGTTTTCAACCTTTCAACCCTTTTTCCGGGGGCTTTTAGCACTCATGGCCCCCCGTTTATCAATCCATAGATATTTTGATGGGTACATTCCAAATTTCACTATGTTCAAACAATTTATGCTTATCAAAGTGAAATAACCTTATCAAGCAATGAAACTAGGAAGAAGGAGGTATAATTGTTTGATATATGAACAAAAATATGGTAAAAAATCTATATGTAATGTTGGATATATGTATCACTGCCCATAATTGAAATTTATTGGAAGAATTAGAAAATACTATTTAAGAATTAGAAAATACTCGGCGACCCGCGATTGGGCCGCAGCCCACAGTATGCCGACCGCTAATTTAGGGCCAGGGGCACCCAAAACAATTTGAATGTTCGAACCGATCTAAAATTAGTTATATTTCTTCTTTCAAATTCTTGATTTCAGGTATAATTTGGAAAAAATATGTTTGAAAAGTTTTTTAAATTAGGAGTCTTCCAGTATTACAAAAAACCGAGGGCTTCAATCTATTATTTTTCATATCTCTAATTTCAGGATCATGCCCTGAAAGGGATGAAACTTGCTGAAGCGAACATTGCAGTTTTATCAAAGAAATCTAGCAAGGCAGGGGCTGAAAGTCTGAAGAAAGAACTGAATGAAATTACTGAAAAACTGGAAAAAGTATGAGATATGTTTTACTGCTTTTGCTGCTTTATTCTAAACTATTTTATTTAAAAAAAAAACATGTTGAAAATACGTGGATGGAACGTAAATATCCAAAATAAAGAAATGTAAATATACAAACAAAAGAAATGTAAATATCCAAAATAAGGCGGGCAAGATCAAATCTAACGAATATTTTGATTTTTAATTAGTTTCACGCCCAATCAAAAAATTGTCTTCTCCCCTCCCACCTCGTGGCGCGCCCCCCATCGTTTGAACACCACTGTCAAAAACTATTTAAACTGTGCAAAAGCCAAAGTGCGAGTTGTGTGTATTGCTTGATAAAGATTATTCAAAAACTGAACTAACAATGGAATTTTTATGCATATCGGCTAGTAAGGGAGAAACTAAATAGCGATCAGCGGCCGACTTATCGATCTTGCGGTTTCGATTCCTTCTCTCTGACTCAATAGCGACACTGCATGCCCCATCACTAATTAATTAATAACTCGCTAATTATACCACATAATTCATCTAAAATCAATAGACTTCTGGTCTGAGATACGATGAATGCACATGCAAAATTTGGGGCAGATTCGACCTCGCTTTCGTGAGATATCGCGTAACATACGAAGGTGAAACAAACAGACAAATACCTGTCAACAGACTTATTGATCGAGATCAATAAGTAATCAAGAATGAGAAATGTTGGAAACCACTAGAGTGCGCTATCTTTTATCTTTTTTCTGAATATATATGAGAATCCCGGAATCCGTTTTTTTTATGCTTGAATGATTTTTTTTTTCAGGTAAAATCAGCTCTGAATGAAGGAATTGCTAAAGCGCAAGGAATAAAGAAAGAATGGATGAATTGTGAGGAAGAGATGAATAGTGTTGTTCAATGGACGCAAGAAATTGGAACAAAGGTATGGTTTGTGTTTGACTTGACTTTGGTTCCGTCATGTTAGAGGTCATTGGTTTGATTCCCATGTAATGTTGTCTCGAGGTTCTCAAGCTGGATAAAAAATGAAGAGCCTCACTAGATGCCACTTGCGATGATAATATTAATTTAAAGTAAATTGACTTGTGCTTAAATCATTTAACCAATCTTTGCCTGCATAGTGGATGTAAAAAATTCTCATGAAGATAGGGTTTAACCCTCCTGTGAATCCAGTTGTGCTGAAATATACCGCTAAAGGTCTTATCGTTGCCTTCCAGTCATGTACCAAAAGCATCTGTTTATTTAATATTTATACATATATACGTATATGATGTGTTTATTGGTTTGACGAATGAAATGAACTCTTTCTCTCTTAAAATCTTATGATAAAGGACATGGGTTTGATTCCCAAAGCGTCTATCTGACTATGTCTCATCTGTGAGGGATCGCAGTGGCACGACATATTTAATGAAGAAATTGGAATTAATCGCGAAAACCAGATTAAAACTCGCTTCTCTGCGGGTCACACAATTATTTTTTGCGGGCCACAGGTTGCACATCTCTGTCCTAAATGGTTGCCCCACGTTATTGCCGTCATATCTTTTTTAACTGTTAATTCATTGTTTACACATACGATCAGGCTTTTTCGTGGAAAAAATTTGAAAAAAGCAAAGCACTGCTATCTTGTTTAGATTTCTGCAATTGAGCAATCTCAAGAGAATCCAGAAATCCAATTCACACAAGCACAGGAGACAGTTGGTTCGATACTTGCCAAATCACAAGAGCTTTCTCAATTGGAAGAGAGAATAAATCAAATTGAAGGATTAGAATCACCTACTACACTGCATGCAACACTGGCAACAGTCAGAGGAAAATGGGAACAGGTATGATTGACAGGTGTGCCTTGCGCATCGCGCTAATCGTTAGGAATACGCTTGTCATCCATCGCAACTCTGGAACTCAACTTTGGAAACCACATATATAGGGCATCAATATTTCCTCTACAATTTAAACGAGAATATCGGTTAGAAACCGAAGACTTATCGATCGATAGTTAGGGGATCCCCAAAACAGAAACTGCAGTTTCGATTCATCCACTCTTGTAACTTGCGCACTGCGCATCGCACACACACAGGTCTCAAAATTCTCTCGCTTTACAAAAATCTAGATCAATATATCAATAATTGATTGATAACTCGCTAATTATACGACATAATTCGCCCAAAATCAATAGGCTTCTGGTCCGAGATAAGATGAATGCACATGCAAAAACTGGAGCAGATTCAATCTCGCTTTCGTGAAATATGGCGTGCATCTAACAGACATACAGACAAATACCTATCAACATACTTACCGATTAAAATCGATAAGTAATAACTTCAAGACTCAAAATAGTATTAAACCCATGCAGGGTTATCAGCCATGTATTCAGCACAATGCACTTACCATCGAGCTAATTCATTCGAAAACTAGTTTATTATTGTTCTTTTCTCCTCCCAGGTTCACAACAGGGCGCAAAATCTTGTGACATCTCTTGGTGAAAATCTGAGCCATCAAGAAAAGTTTGAATCCACAGTTCAACAAGTGGAAGAGAATTTACTTGCTGCTGAACAACATTTTCAAGTTGAACTCGAGCCCTGCGAAAGTTCTGAAGATGTGCAGGACAGGAAAGATGAGCATTTGGTATGATTGTGGAGTTCTATATTGCCAAGGTCATTTGTTGTGATGCCAAGGTCATTTCATTCATTATCAAGAATCTATTCGTGTTGATGGTCAATGTGAAAAAATCTTTTAGCCAGGAGCTAAAAAGAAATTTTCAGGCATATATCGACTATTGACTGAATCAACAGGGTAGCTTAGAAACCCAAGATCTAATGAAATATAACTTCGTCCTGCATATCAGAGGCTTTGCCAAGAGTGGTTGCGGGTGGAAACCCCATTTTTTAAATGTAAAAGAAAGCATTTTCTGTATCATACAAGGAAATTTTTTCTTATGATTCTTGAAAACTTCAGTTTTCCGGAACCCACTAGGCGGTACGGTCTAACTTGGCAGTTGCAAATTTCAAAATCCCAGAACTAACGAAAAATGGCAATCTTTAATAATAAATGATGATTGATAATAAATATTTATATCTTAAACAACTTTGTTAACCACCACTTTTTTAGAAATTTACTCACACTCTCGAACAAGTGAAACTAGGACTCACAACTCTGCAATCTGAGGCCAAATTAATCAAAGATCCTGCTAGAGCTCAAACAAAGAGACATCAATTACAACAGAGGTAAGAAATTTCTTTAGGCATTCAAGTTTTTTGTTTTTTTCCTTGACGAATTTGAGACTTTCAGCATCATTATCAAGCAATTATGTATATGGGATAATTAGCTGAAAAAATTGCTCCTAATTGGAATGAACCAAAATCTGTTGAAAGTGTTTTTTCTGTTATGCTGTGTTTGAAGACTTTGAAATAACGTCCGAGGCTTGTTATTTCAATTATTTTAATGCCCAAAATATTTAATGTCAGGTTGCTCAAATCAAAGTCACAATATCTCACCTAAAAACAAATAGAATAGGATTTGCATTTTTACTGTAAAAGAAAGCTGATAAAATGTCTTGATCATATGGCTAACATTGGTCTCACATCTGGTTACCAGTCTATCTAACAGATTGGCCATCAAAGTTTTTTCTAAAGTATTTGATGATCTAAGTGTATGTTTTAAAGAGCCTAACAAATCTCAAATGTATTCATTTCATTGCTTCTAGTTTACACAAAGTTCGCATAATTTTTTCTAATTTATCCATGTTTCAGATATGCTGACATCATTAACTTGATCAGGACTCGAACTCATAACCTTGACGAAGCGATTCAAAAATTCCAAGATTATGAGAAGAAAGTGAATAAAGTGAAACAGTATATTGAAAGGTAGGATATGGATTTTATATTTATCGTGTCGTATCGATAAGACGACTTAATCATATGATAAGGGCTGTGGTATTATATCAGATTTTATATTTATTCTGTGATAGTGGGAAGTTGATTAGCCGACTTAATATTTTGATAAACTATGCCAGGGGTAGGGTTCTGGTATAGGATATGATTTCCATATTTATTCTGGGGGAAAGGAAACCATATCCTATCTCTGTGCATCCTTTTTCCAATGATTGTAATATTCATTACAGTATCATGTCAAGAATGATTCCTTTCAACCTTCAGATAGATCCAAAAATTTTCTCCATTGGAGAAATCTTCAGCCAAATCCTTCTCCTTAGCCGTCTGTTGTTTCTACTCTGATAAAACCTGCCATATGGTTCGTTAAATCAAAACTTAAAATTTCACAGATGCGATGAGATTGTGTCTGCTGATCACAGTGCATTACCTGGAGACCCCCAGAAATTACAGCACGAGTTACAAGTAGCTGATAAGCTATGCAGTGACATTCAATTCCATAAGGTAAGACTGGTTGTTAGCTTAATAATACAAGAGACCAATTCAGCAAAATTGATCCAAAGTATACAGTTACTCATTCAACTTTCTGTCCACCTCTTAGTCCATGTTGTATTAATATTTAATAAGTTCTCTTATGCCAGAAAGAATAGTCAATATACAGGGACTATGAGCTATGCAGTGAGATTCAATTCCATAAGGTACGACTGGCAATAAATGTTAGTTTAATAATACAAGAGAGCTATGCTCAAATATATGGACACGTAGCGCCACCCAATGGCAATAATTTTGATGACGTCATAGCGAAAAAAAAAGTAATAGCCTTCTGGAGAAAAATTTTATCTTTAACCACTGAAAATTTCAAAGCAATTGGTCCAGTATTCGAAGAGAAAAGCGATTTTTTAAAAATGGAGACGGAGACAAATAACAATAGCAACAAAATTTTGAAACGATCGTTATGTCCACTTCGTGTCCAACAAGAGATCAATTTAGCAAATTGATCCAAAAGTTCATTTTATGTTAAATAAATGAATATTGCAGGAATGTCCATAACGCTAAAGTGTATAGTTACTAGCTAGACTCCTGGCCATCTCTATATCAATGGCATCAAATTCCATTCTTTTCATTCTTCAAGTCATGCAAATGGGTGTGACATACTTTTGTTATCGGTACACATGTGTAGCCTAGGTTGAGTAATGATGTTAACTATTTGGATCAAAAGAACGGCCTCTAAACTTATCTGCTTGTCAGGAGCCTTGTTTTGAGAAGTATAAGTTATTTTGAACTAGGAAAATCAGGCAAGCTTGTAATTATTATCTACCTGTCTAGGGCCCTAGTTTCATTGTTTTCATTTTTCCAGGAATCATTACAGGAACTTCGAGAATTTATTGATGAAATTGATCAGAATGTTCCAGTTTCCACAGATAACGTCCTCACAGAGATTAATGCAATGGTATGTTGAATAATAATTCAAAAACGCAGTGACAGAGTGGTTAAAATGCTGAACTTAACTATATTAGCACCGCAGGTGTAAAGATTCCGGTCCAAATCCAATGCCCACAGCCTCATCCAGTGTGTAATAAATTTGGTAGGCCAGCGGTTCCCTAAAGGGGCGCCACGGCGCTTGTTTATGCCTTTATTGTTATGTGACTGTTACATAACAATAGAGTCAGACACTACTTGCTGCAATTTTTCGAGCTGCAGTTTATTTTCTGCTGAACCGAGTTTAGCGACCATGATTAATTTTTTCTAGTATTTTAAAGGAAAAAGCATATTAATGATCAAAAATTGAGTTTCATTTATAACGCCAGCAATTTGTATTTTCGTGTAAGTGAGCCATGAGTTTTTTCCCTTGATAATTTCGTGCCGCATGAACACAAAGTTTGGTAACCGCTGGGTAAGGCAATGCTGAACTGCGATGAATCATTTTTTTCCCTAATGTTTTAGGAGGTCCTCCTGAACGATCTACCTCAACAGTTTGCTGATCGGAAACGAATTGTCAGTGCAGCTCTAGCCTCGCATACACAATACAACGATACGATTGAACGGTACACAATATGGCTACTCAACTTTGAGAAGTCCTTACGATCAACCACAGATGTCTACTTAGATGATGTTCCTCTTGCAGTAAATGTTATTAAGGTAGGTTACTAGTTCAAACCGGTCAGAACCGGATTTTTCTGGTAAGAACTTGATTGCACTGGTGATGAAGACTGGATGATGATTGAAGATACAGTCGGATTTTGGGTAAGTTTGGTGAGTATATACTTCACAGGTAACTGAAAAACTTTTGGGGTCATCCCTGCACAACCTTACCTTTGGTCATGCTTCGATGAAGACTGATCCTCAACATTAAAATAGGTTCGTGAGGTAAGATTAGAGATGTCCTTATAATTTGGTTTGAATGTCCTGATGCAGCCGGTTCTAACTGGTTTTCATCATGTATTGAGTTAAATCTGCTACAAAATTGCAATTTGATTTTACATACATAACACAAAAATACCCAAACTAAATTTTTTGGACATCTCTTTTCAATCACTTATATGCACAGCCAAAAAGTTGAATGTAAAAACAGGAAATAATTGGTAAGTTTTCCTGAGTCCTATCAATCCTATCATATTGGTAAGTGTGGTGCCAAGTTCAAGTGCCAGTGACTTGAATTTCTACAGATCCAAATGATTTTATCTGTGGCTTGGGTTTATTTTGGATCCAGTTTAATCTGGATCCAACTGGTATTTTGTATCACATATTGGATTGGAATGGATTGGCCCTTGGAAGTCAGATCTATCTGAGCGGATCTGACTGTTTTATCTTATATATTTATGCATTTATTTGGGTTTAGTTTTGTTTTGGATCCAGTTATACTGGATCCAACAGACAGTATCATGTCATATATTGCCCACATTGGCCTTAATATGAACTTTTTTGTTTCATTTTGGAACCAGTTTTAACTGGTATCCTGTCCTATATACGCCATTGAGTAAGATCTGTCTTAGACTGATTTCACCGACTTCGTTTTAGATCCAGTTGAAACTGGATCTAACTGGTATTCTGTTCTATATTGAGTCAGACCTGACTGAGGGTTACCTATGTTTTTTTTTTTCAAATTTTAGATCCAGTTTGAACCGGATCTAACTGGTTTTTCTGTCACATATGGTTTGCACTGGTATCCCAACTGTTACATTTAATTTTTTTTGCCCCTCTCATAAATACGGTTGATCTTGACTGGGAGGATCGATGCATTTTCGTTTTTATGGATTTGATGTTTTAGGAAGCTGACCAATTATATATATAACCAAATATGTGACGTGTATTGCAAGTAAGTATGGCGAGAGTGGCCAATATCGATGGAAACCAAAAAAGTGCAACGGAAACACAAAAAACTTCGTAAGCTTGCCCCAAAGTCTTAAAAATCATATCATTTTGGTGAGTATGGTATTTTAATTCCCAATGTCCAAATGTCTTTTACTCTGTGGCCTGTTTTTTGCCACATATTGCCTATGTAAGACTTTAGATCTGTTGTAGTTAGATATAACTTTTCTTATTTATTTTATATCCAGTTTAAACTGGATCAAACTGGTTTTTCTGTCATATATGGTTTGCACTGGTATTCCAACTGTTATCGGTAAATATGAATTGAATACTGAATGTTGCCTTATACTAGATCGAACAATTTGAACCAGTTTTGTCTGGTTCGCACTGGCATATATTTAGGCTGGTCTTATAATAGACCAGCCATTTTTAAATTTTGGTCAACCAATTTTGAACCAGTTTTGTTTGGTTTGCACTGACATATATTTAGGCTGGTCTTACAGTAGACCAGCCAATTTTGAGTTCAGTCGTTGCCAAAAACAGACTACAATGAACAAGCATTTACCTCATTCCTTTTTTGAAAGGGGAGACTTGTATAGTTTGCAACAGTATATATTTAGGCTGGCCAAACCAGCCGATTTTGTACTGATTGCATTTTGTCTTCGGTCGTTTCTTTGAAAAGACCAACTAACTAGAATCTCTATGAACTATTTTTATTCTCGGTCCTTTATGGAAGAAGAAGCTTTATATGGTTTGCACTGGTATATATTTAGTTTTGACCTTTTCATTTTGAACAAGTTGCTTAGTACATAGAAACTTGTGTCGTCTTTCGTATTTCTGGTATAAACGTTGGATGGTAAGTACAAGTTTCGTAGAAGTGAAAAATCTTTCTGGTAAGTATGACCAGGGGCGGAGCCAAGTAACCAGAGAGGGGGTTTAATGTTTGAAATTTACAAACAAAAAACCTTTTTCTGTACACCTGGCCAACTCCCCCCCCCCACCCCTCTATTAAAGAAAATTCGTGGCTACGCACCGGAGTATGGCAATATGGGTACAAGGGCAATTGATCTGGTAAATATGGTTATTCTGGCAACACTGGTTGGCACGTTAGTGATGGATCTCCCTCCGCTCATCAGGAATCCAGGTGACGGGTGCGGGTTCAATCGGGTGCATTGAAAGAAGATATGTATGGAAGCCAAGAAGTCTCTTCAGCATTTAGCGTATTAGCCTATTGGTCAACCAATGGAAAGAAAATTTTCACCAGGATTATAATTTTCTGTGAGTATGATTTCGGATAGGGTAAGATTTCATCTTAATCCCGTGAGGAGAGGAAAGCCGAAAAATAGCTTTATCATATGGCGAACCATGGCTTCTCGTCATCATCATTATCAATAAGTCTAACAGTTCTTAATATATTTATGGCTCACTTGAAAATGTTACCATGGCTCACTGTCCTAGATGCTCACAGTTCTTGCTCCTGTCAATGTATGCACATTGAACGATTAACTGGTTAGCTATAATGTTACTCATTGCCACACTGACAGCCAGACTCGAGCCATGCTTTACTAACTAGTTGGTTATTTCATGATAAAACAGGAGGAGGAAAGCCCAGTATCTAAATCTGACATGGGAAAACTACGTCCCGTGGGCCAAATCCCGCCTGTTGAGTAATTCAATATGGCCCGCCTGTTGCTACAACTACAGAGATCAGGGTGGTCCAAATTAAGCCCCGCGCGCCACATGTGGCCCAGCCGCTCCATTATCTGTGGCCCGCGCCGCATTCGGAGAGTAATCAGAATATCTTATTTTAAATTGCTTCTCATAAAATAAATCAGAAAAATCGTTTGACATGTTGTTATATCACTACTGCGACTGAATTGACTAGTATGATGGCTAGATGAAGCAACTAGCGAAGTTGAAGATGTGATGGGCAGTCTAAATTATTACCTGGATTTCTATCTTTTTAGTCAGGAATATATGCTAACAATATAGGCATGATAGAATACTAAACATCGGATGCGGATTTCATTAGTCCATGTTGGCAATGCCTATGTGATAACTATGTGTTTACACGATAGAAGTACTTGTTTTGTATTGCACTGTTTACCTTGGTACTATTGTGGCCCGCGACCAATGCCAAAATAATTTTGTGGCCCGCGGAGCCCACAACCTTGGACCACCCTGACATAGATGTTGTTATTGAAATCTGTATTGTACAGAAGTCTGGTTAAATTAGGATCGTAGTCTGTGTAAGTTTTATTTTAGTTTGCTCCTTGTTCAAAAACCTTGCCTACCCATGATCTAAATCAGGGTGGTCTAACATTGTTGACGAAACAACGGTAAATGCGATTTTTTGATTATTCTCTGAATGCGACGTGGGCCACATATAATGAAGCCTGGGTTTGGACCACCCTGATCTAAATTCTCTGGTTTGACTTGTTTCAAACCCCTGCATCTAATAATGCATAAGATAGGCTTGCATAGAGGATAGCTTGGTGCCGAGTTGAAATCTTGCTTTTGTGGTTGTTGACAAGGAGCATTGCTTTATTCTCTGCAACCATTTTAATTACTTGTTAATTCCAGTTGTTAATTAGTTTCTTTTAATTTCAGAAATTCAATATCACAACATGTTCTGAGCTGCGAGAAATGCTTCAAAAAAGTTTATGCCTACACTTGCGATATAGGCCTACTGCAACTGAATGGAATTTTTATGAAACTGATGATGGCCATACAAAAACGTTGAACTTCTGTGGATGTCTTGCCATATAAAATGCAACTATCCAAACCCACAGATAGCATTCATTATTTCTGTAATATATGAAGTGGCCCCAAAGCTTTGAAATTTCAACCATATTCGTTGGGCAATTCCGCTGCATTTTAATTACTTTTATACCCTCAGGGAATACGAAAACTGGCTTTCAAACAGTGCAAAGATGATTTTCCATTTTTTATTGTATTTTCTCTGGCCCAGAAATGTCCGATGTGCCATTTACTAATTCAGATATACTTGTTTTACTTTAAAACTGAATTTTAGAATCTACCAGTAATATTACGTATCTTTTTCCAATCTAGGATGTCATAAATCAGGTACGTGTGTGTCTTTGGAGAGTATTTTCTACAAGCCTGGCGTGGTAATTTATATTGCATATATTGGTATTCTTAACTTTATCTGTTCGCTGGTGATTCAGATTCAAATATTTATTTTCGTCGTGCAAAAAACATAGTACATTTGAACAAGAAATAAAAACTGGATAAATTTATTGAAAAAAAAAGTACAATATCTAGACTGCAATGGAGGACTGGTCGCGAACGACTATCAAAGTCATCTGGTCAGCGACACCATTTTTGTTGGGTTTAGCTGCAGATGACGTCAAAAAATACAGAATTATGTTTATTTATTTATGATAAAGAAAAAACTGGAGATTTTGTGGGAAAATTATTGACAAAATATGTCGGTTTTGGGCTGAGTGATTCAACTGCTGAGTCATACATGGCTTGCTCCTATACGAGTCCTGTTTTGTTAGTGCGTTATCATTTCATAATCTTAGATTACGGCACATGGAATTGGCATAAAAAAGCAGCCGCATACAACTCTCAATCTACCTTGCAAAGCATATTCTGCCTAGGGGTTTGACTTTCATGTGGTGTTGTAGCGAGTACATATGTATTGTTAATGTGTACTAAATTGTGTAGAAAGTCGAGCAGTATGGTATCTACGTTAAATTACGCCCATGGCAAAGTTTAAAAATGCGCCATCTCGATCGTTGACTGAAAATTTTTAACCTTTGTTGAATTGAGATACTTATACGTTATTATTTAAGTAAAAATACAAATTTAAATTATTTCTTTTCGCCCTATTTGTGTCCCTATCGAAACAGCGCCATCGGCTGCCATACCCATAGATACGCCTCTGCATCCAAGCCAAAAACAGCTGCCTGCTCATATTTAAGAGCGATAGCAATTCGATTCACTTATATTGGGTCAAGCCTACTCTGACATGGCGGTGTGGCGCATCGTGTTAAGCGTTAGAAATTAGGCTTGCCTGATTACTCTGCGTAGGTTCTAATCCCGTGGGATAATTATTTGCGAGAGGATTGGCGAATCCTCGTCGCCGTAGAGGGATTCACGTGACAACTAGTCGGTTACGATTCCTTCACCACCAAGTCCCTGCATATGGAACAAATAACTGGCTAACTTATCCAATGCCCGACATTGTCTGGTAACCAGACAAGAGGCCGTAGTTCTTAATATGATTGTCGTCACAGCGCGCCACAGTTTTCCACAAATTTCATTACTCCTCCGTCTTGTCGACTTTCCTCTCCCGCGAGATACATCTGTAAATCCTACCTAATCCAGTATTTGGGAATAAGTAATCGAGGTCTCCGTACCACTTTAAGCTAATATGAACATCTGTTTCCTTTGTTAAACACGTTTTCAATAACTAAGGAAGGTAGTAATTCATAATATTGCATATAACTACATCCACTTTCGTTTTTCAAATTTTATATTCCCTAATAAAAAACAATATTATCTCATATACATATGAGACATTCGATGAATGTTTGTATTGTCATGTCAGTATGCTTGTTCTGGGTTAGGATTGTCATATTTATCCCGGGGAAGAAAAAAGCTTTATCTTGTATAAAGGTAAGCCTAGGCGTATCGTTCCATAGGCATTTTACCTGGTGATGGTTGCCATAGCCGACGAGTGGAACATGGGATCTTCTGTAGAAAGCGCGCACAACTAATGCAAAAATGTGAGATATGAAAAAAAACACCACGTCTTTAAAATAAAAAATTAGTAATTACCCAGTTCGGGTAGGGAATGATTCGAACTTCCAGCGCAATCTGCGTTCCTGAATGGATAATAACTGATTTTTTTGGAAGCGGAGGCGGGCGCTATCTACGAAAGATCCATAACCTGAACCGTATTGTAATCATGAAGAGCCCAACAATAATCCTAAACTTATCTATGACTATACCTAGGCTTACCATACGTCCCTCTTTTCAGCGTTTTGTCCCGCCGTCCCGATAAGTCAGCCAAAAGTCCCGCTTTTCCAGCATAATACACAAACATGTTCTGGTTACTGTTGTTTCTGTGTAGCGCAGCGCTAGCCTGCGTACTGAAGGTGAATGCGTTCGTCTCCCGCCGATTCCCATTGATGACAGACGTATCGCATGTAAAACCAATACTAATTGTTCTAAATTCGAATTATTTGTACGAGGCTCCCGAAGTATGCGAACTAAGATGGCGGACACCGGAATGTAATATGTGTACTAGGTTAGGGTTAGGCCATAATTTTAGGTATAAATACTACGGGAGGCTCTAGGCTAGTCTTCGAACTGATAATAGGACTAAAATAAGGAAAATTGGAAAAAAATTATCGCCTAACCTGTTACCCATGTTACGTTCCATGTCCGCCATCTTGGTTCGCATACTTCGGGAGCACCATTTGTACCGGTATCGTTAACGTAAATTCCTTCCTATTTTTCGAACTGAACCCGATATTTGGACAAAGAATATGCGCATGAAATTTCGATAACAATATGGTCAATAAAGACAGCCAGGACAGCTTTAAATGTAGGAATAGGCCTATGTAGTAAAATCGGAAAATGTGGAGTTACAAAATCACAGCTAAGGGGTCGTTGTCTTTTGAGGCGTCCCGATTTGAAGTCACAAAAATATGGTAACCCTAACTATACCCCAACTGACAACGAGCCTGCGGTCTCAAATGAGTACGCGAAACGTTTGAATGAGTTCGCAACGGGCCAGAAATTCACTGCGAGCGGCAAACGTTTTTGCAAAAGTTAACTAACATCCAAGTTACGATTTACGTTAAAATTCACATAAAACATAAAAAGCAAGCTTATTCACATAACATTAATCAAGTCAATTAGAGTATGGCTGGGCATATATTCAACTATTAGAATAGCTATTCACTATTCGAAAATCTGGTAACAGGTGACGCGACAGGTCAAAACGATTGGATTTCACAACTACATTGCGAATTTCCGACGAAAACACGAGCACATGCGTGGTGTTTCTCGCGAGTTCGAACGAGGAATAAACTTTTTTCTAGTTGGTGTCAATGGTGGCAATCCAAATTTTCTAAATTGAAATACGGTAATACAAAATACTAAAAATAAAACGGAGAACACCGTAACTTTTGTTTTATGATTGTACGCGACCGATTAAAAGCGCTTCTTTAGACTTTGCAAATCGAAAAATTTCGGCTGATACTGTAGTACAGGGGTCACCAACCTTTTCGAAGCCGAGGGCTACTTTCTGGGTACAGATTAAGCCGAGGGCTACCAGTTCAATGTACACTTTTAAAAAAGTCAGTTTGCTCGAATTACTGGTATTTAGTTAAGTAGATCACTGATAAATTCTAGGATTTTTTAGAAAATCAAACGATTATTACAAAGTTGAAATGAATTTCTATCAATGACACTTGCGTTGCATTTTAAAACTGAGTGTTTTCAAATTGGGTTATTTACAAACACTCTGCACAAGCCTAGGATAAAATGGACTTAACACTTAGAGTGTTGTACTGCGGCGCGTAACTTGACACTGTAACACTGTACGAGACTGGCAGATCATCAGAAAGGCGTGTTCCGAGTTTGTTCCTGGTGAAGTACATATGAAAAATTTTTGATTCACAAAGATAGGTTGAACCAAACAATAGTCTCAATATTTGTCAGGGGCAGCCCTGTCTTTACGGCCGACCGGCAGCAAAATTTTACATGTCTTTGATTTTCAATTTGGTATGTGGCAGCTAAAAAGTCTGTCGCCGTCATTAAGATGTATATAACTCAATGGTCGCCGTAGGTCTTCGCTTGGCCATAGCGGGCCATGGTTCGGGAATACCGCCGTGGTTTTGCGGCAGCTTTAGACGCCACACAATAATTAAAACTAAACTTGAAAAAACGCGGATTAGTGGAGAGTGATATCTGTGTGTTGTGATAATTGGAGGACTATTAAATGACCCGTCACATTGCTGAGGTCAAACCAGGGTGATTGTTACAATAATTAATATAGTGCCATTCCCAGTTCCCATATATATATATATGTGATTACTACAAAAATAGGAGGACAAAAATTGATTGATGTAGCTTATTGATGAGCGCCGTTATTAAGCTTATTTTGAAACAGACATGCGGGCGACTCATGTGGTCTTCACGGGCGACTTGGTGCCCGCGGGCAACGGGTTGGTGACCCCTGCTGTAGTATATGTATCTGGGTATTTTTCCTTCGGCCTCCACATTGGTACGTACAGGTACAGTACTGGAGCGCCGTAAGTGCTGTACGAACAGCTCAGATTTGTTGAATTCACAAAAATATGAGTCAAAAAAATATATAATCGGGCACATTACCACGCATTTTTGTGTCCACGGATTGTCATGATATTTTCTGATTAGTATTGCTTTTATTTCGTCAACACAACCGCAGATTAAAATGATCACCATTGAACTAATAACAAATCAAAGCGGTGAATATGTATTCTTGATTTACAAATATTATTTGAATATATATTTAATAAATCAAGTTGTACTTCCTGGAAATTTATAGCAGATAGTAGGATTTTTCTAACGACGATAAAAAATTTGCAAGATCTCTAAAAATATGTATCAAAACTAAATATAATCGAGCAATATGTTAGCAGATTGATGTGGCATTTTAAAAAAGTAATGCTATCATCTTGTCGTAAGTCGACGCAACCGCGAGTTACCATGAACACGATTAAAATAAAAAGATATTTTAAATTCTCGTCGTTGTCATGGATTGAATATAGTGCGACAGAAAAGGCCATTATACATTAAAAAAAATCGGGACCTCCAGAAGTATGCGCCGCACCAAGATGGCGCACAACCTGAACATAGTAGGTGTGTACTGGTTAGGATTCAGCTTGTGCGACATCTTGGTGCGCATGCTTCTGGAGCACCAAAAATCGACTCTTTTTACGGACGCGTAATTGCGGCGAATTTCCGATTTTGGAATTCGTTCAAGTTCCGTTGTGTTTGGTTTTATTGCTTCTTCACACAGAGTACGATTAAAATAAACGAACCTTGAGTCCGCAAAGGTTTTCGCCGGTGAGAAATTAGTCCGCGACCAAAATCGGTTGGGAAACGCTGGTCTAAGTAATACCCTAGGACAGGGTGGTACAAACCCTTGCCCGCGGGCCACATGTGGCCCGCCGCTCCATAATCTGTGGCCCGCGTCGCATTTGCGGGAGAGAAAACAAAAAATACCATTTGGTGTAGTTTCACATTAAAAATAACTAGAAAATGCCACAATGATTGCTTGACATGCCTGCAAGTTGTGTTGGTGACAATCTAAAATTCTAAAACGACATTTTCTCCCTGTGACACTTTCTCCATTATGAAGAGTTTGAAATCTTACACTAAATGTAGATTTAGTAAGATTTTTGCAGGTTTTAGTGGGTTTCCTAATGGATTTTGCATGTTTTTGCTTGATAAATGACAAATAATGATTGGACAATAAAAATGTTTGTTTTATATTGCACTGTTTACCTATTATTGGCACTGTTGTGGCCCGCGAACAATACAAAAATAATAGTGTGGCCCGCGAACCGACAACCTTGGACCACCCTGCCCTAGGGCCTTAGCGCCGGATTAACCATTAAACAATATAAGCACGTGCTTAGGGCACCAAGCAAAGGGGGGCACCTCAAAAATTTTTGAGCAGAATTTTATATAGTTTATCGGTGTTTATTAATACATTACGAGTTCACCAGACGACTCAAATATCAAAATGTTCGCTTATTTTCCGTCTTCAAGTGTCATATTAATCTTTTTTATGGACCTTTCCCCGAGCATCGACTTCCTTGTTTACATCGTGATATTGGCCAATCAGCAAGAGGCAAAAAGTGACGTAACAGTGCACCAGAGAGATTTTCAGGCGTGGTCGTAAACATTATCTCGTTTTCGCGTTTTTGATCTCTATTCGTTAGTTTTCAGTTGTGTTCCGGAAATTTAAATATAAATCAGATAATTCTATAATTACTCTGTCTTCCTAGGAGTTTTAATTCAATTGCAGTATTAAAAAATTAGTGTAGAAATAGCTGATATAGACTAGGCTAAAATTCTTCACTGTTGGTTTTAAAATACAGATTGTTGTATGCGATGAATCATCATGATGGTTTTAAACACATACCTCATTTTACAGGCGCTAACTCGCGAAACCACTCTTAAAATAAGACCCGAAAATTTTGCAATGGTAAGTAGGAAAAAATTTTCGGGGGTCAAAGGTCCATTGAAAATAAACATTGAAACCTATTCATTGGACACGAAATGGGCCTTTGAGTTGTTTTCTTAAATTGTTGTTGTTTTTGTCTTCCTAGTACTTTACTTGTTTCTGCATTTTTGTTTTATAAAAATTCTTTTTTCTCCAACAATTGGACCAATAAACTATTTGCACTATGTGGCGGTTCCACAATCGCATTTCAACGATCTAGTGTCAGCGAAGTCGGGAGTTTTTGGACACGTTTAGTGGCCATAACGATCGTTTCAATATTATGTTGTTGTTGTTCTTGTTCTTTGACACGTTTTTAAAAAATCGCTTTTCTCTTCGAATACTGGACCAATTGCTTTGAAATTTTCAGTGGTTAAAGATTAATTTATTCGCTAGAAGGCTATTACTTTTATTTATTTCAAAATTTTACGTGAATTCTATGAAATTTGATATTTCGTCTAAAATTTTGCTGTATTATTTTTTATCCATGGGAACACAGATTTTAGTCAGTGTCATGACTGGCTGTACGTTTTGATTCTGCAAAATTCTTGCTACTGGAAATTCAGAACTTTTTTGAGGGTACCGGCAGCGTCAAAGGTACCGGTAAAGACTGATTCGCTCTGGTCTAACGTGTCCATATATTTGTGCGTAGCTCTCTTGTTGATAAGGTAGACCAGGATGGTCCGTGCGGCTCACCGAACAATTTTAGCGTATATTTGTACCTAATAGAAGAACGTTTCTGAGTTTTTTTTAGCTATTCCAACTGGGGTTAGGATCTCGAGATTCAAATCCTTTTTCTAACGTTTTGTGACTTTATTTTAGTAAAAACACTTCGGGGCTCCCGAAGTATGCGAACCAAGATGGCGGACATCGGAATGTAATATGTGTACCAGGTCAGGGTTAGGCCATAGTGTTAGGTATAAATACTACGGGAGGCTCTCGGCTAGTCTTCGAACTGATAATAGGACTAAAATAAGGAAAATTGGAAAAAAATTGTCGCCTAACCCTAACCTGTTACCCATGTTACGTTCCGATGTCCGCCATCTTGGTTCGCATACTTCGGGAGCACCAACACTTCTCTGTTTTCAAGCGTCACAAGATGTGTCACAAGGAAGGTGACATAAGGAAAATTAACTTTAAAATAACTGAAGGCTTTATATATCTTCTTTAAAAGAAAACCACTCGTGCAACATAATAATAGTCTGATTAGAACGGTAAACTCTCGTTGTTTATTAAATTTAATATAAGTAAACTCGCGATATCTCGATCACTTTTGGGTTTTCTTCGACTTGCGACCCGCGAGACCTCCTCAAAAGTTTTTGCGGTCCTTCAACCTAGCAACCTTGAACCACTATGAGGTAGACTACTGGTTAAGACTTGTATGCTTTGGTATTTCGATTCAAGTTGAGACTGGAGACATGAATCTTTATTGTCACATGCCTCAGGATTAGAGCGCAACGGATATTTCGGCCCGATATTGCGTGTTTGCCGATATATCGTATCGGCAGTAGAAGGCCGATATATATATCGGCTATATAAACCAGTCAAAAATCTAAAAATGTTCGTAAAAGTTGTTTCATTTACTGTTAGTTGTGATTTTTTTAATGGATAATACACTTATTAAATTACACATGAGGGGGCACCAAAGTCGTCAGTGCTTGGGGCACCAAAGGGGCTTAATCCGCCCCTGCTTGCCCTTGGTGTTCTTTTGTATTTCTGGAATAGGTTACTATCTCGAGACATAGAAATAGCCTGTTTTCAATTTTTTTCAGAATAAAACAATATTATTTCGTAAAAATTTTTCTGTTTAGCAAGCGTTTCATGTATCAATAAAACAGTGTTCCCAAAGATATAACTACATAAATAGTGTCCCCAAAGATAAAACTACAGATACCGTGTTCCCATAGATTAAATGACATGAACAGTGTTCCCGAGGGGAAGAATACAGAAACAGTGTTCCTAAGGAAATACCTACAAAAACAATGTTCTCAAAGATAAAACTACAGAATAGTGTTCCCAGGAATAAAATCACAGAAACAGTGCTCCCAGATATAAAACGCACAAAAGCAGTGTTGTCTTGGTTACATATTTGAACATTTCAAATAAATTGAGATAAAATATAGTTTCAAAGCATAAAACACAGTGTTTTTATATTGCGTTATAACACTGTCTTACTTGTCGGACACAAACGTTTAAAAAATTATGAGATTGACCTGCAGTAGATAGATGTGTGACAGATTTTCTCACGGAAGCCTTCGTGGAACTCGAAATTTTCACCCCGAGGGACGAAAATACCGATGTGACAACTTCAATGACATGGCAAATCACGACCTCTCATTCAGTTACCAGTCTATGTCCGGTATAGGATAGTTACAGTTAATGTAAAAGTCTATTTCGCGGCGCTCAGAGTGTCATTTGAAGATTTGTCGGTCTGAAAACGGCGACATAGGATAGGATTTACATATTTATCCCGAGGGAGAAGAAAACCGATAAAGCGGCTTAATCATATGACGAACCATGGCCTGTCGTCCGGTTATTATTTCATGTCGAGTATGGGATTAGTTAGTTATTTGTTTTCGGAAGCATGGACTTGGTGGTGGAGAAAGCCGTAACCAACCAGCGGTTACGTAAACCACCCTACGTCGGCGAGGAGTCCAGCAATCCTCCCGCACATAACTATCCCCACAGGGGTGATCAGAGGTGCGTTGGCGATCATTCACAACAGACAATTGAGGAAGGCTTCGAATTGTTAAAGATTTCGCTTCTCGGAGTCGAAGTTGGAGTCAAAATTGTTTTAACAAGACACTGGAGTTGTTTATTGAAACTCGCGTCTTGTTTAAGTTTTCCTCTACTCCTTTGGTCGGCTTAGTGAGTATACTGAGCCTGGTACCACATTTTATCAATATAAAACAATCGAGGCCTCGCTCTTAACTATTCTCATCGCCTGTGGCCTTCACTGGACGGACCCATATAGCCACCTATATATATATTGTTATGAAATCGTTACAGCGATAAAATATTGTTCTGGAAAATGCCTTCGCCCTTAGCTGTAAGACTCCAATCTCTTTTGCATAGTCTTAAAAAGCGGGCTGTTTATAAGCTCAGATCCTTCTGGGCTCTGTGAAGGAACGGGCGACAGTTTCATATTCGTGGGCTTTCTCGCGTTATAAGGACTTTTCCTGTTTTCGGAGATGTTTGGACTTGATGGTAACGAATGAATCTTGAACTTCGGGAATTGGCTTCCCGGGCGCAAAGTACGCGGACTTTGATTTGGTGACGATGGACCGCTACTAAATTGACTACTTCTAGATTCGATGCTCGCGATCTTCGACGCCAAAGATATGCTGGTTTTGCTAGATTTTTCACCTTCGTTATTGCCGATTTCAAACTTGCGAACAGCGCTTTCTACTTCATGCATAGGCGGGCTTTGTGTGGCGATTTGTGAAATTCTATCATTTCTGGAATACTCCTTCGCTTCTGTTTTCTGTAATTGCTTCTTTCGAATCGTTGGTCTGACTCGAGGGGCCATTGATCCTCGCGGAATTTGAAAGGGCGTGTTGTCTCCCGGTGCTCCATAAGTAAATGCTCTTACTTTACTTTCGTTGGAAAATTCGTTTGTTGTGTCACTAGGAAGTGCTACGTCATCATAAGCGCTTTGTGTACGTGATAATGTAATTGTTTCGTAATCAGGGACGTCTGGTATACGATTATTTCCACTATTTTTTAATATGACATCATCAGCGTGGTCATAGATTGCTTCGTTAACTAATCCTGATTCCCTTTGTAATGCGTCATAACCGGGCATTGTTTCGTTCCCGCGCAGAATATTCAAATGACTATAATTCCCGCCATTTTGGTCACGTGATGATAAATAGTCAGGTTTGACGGTATTTTGGGAATCATAAAACTGATCCGGTGCTACTTCGTCATATATTTGCGTCATCAGACTGACGTATTTGCCTTTTTGTGACGTGTTTTCTGAATTCTGGAATACTACCGATTCGTATAGTTGGTTGTCAACGATTTCTCTTTCACTTTTGACGTCATTAGATTTGTTTTTGTCGTCATCAGTCGATATTTTACTGAGCGGAACTGACGGAACAAGCGCTCCCAGAGCATGTAATTTTTTCTCCGACTTGCGACCCTTCTTTGATCGTTTCTCAGTGGATTTGGAGGAGAAGCCTCGTTGCCTGCGAAAACAAAAAATAAAGATTGATATTCGAGTACTTTAAATTTTGTCAATTTTAAGCAAGGATACTTGAGCCTGGTGAAATAGAATTTGTAAAAACTGTGACGTGCTAACTGAGTGCTTAGAGCAGAGGTGGGCAAGGTTTTTGAACCGGGGGCCAAATTTTTGCCCACTTAGACTGGCGGGCCATGTAAGTGTGACGTAATAAGTTACAGTTTATGAACACTATTTACAGTGTTGCAAAAGTGGAGAACAGTAAGCCTCGTGCCAAAACAAAACTTAATCGCAATCTCAACGAATTCATTAAGCTATTTTAGCTAAAGTATCAGGCGTGATTAAATCAGGCGTGAATTGATTAATCCAACCCTGCTTTCAGCCAGTTTTTCCCAATCTCTGGATCGCGAGCAACATATGTTGTTTATACAAACAACAACAATCACCCCAATAACAATGAGTCTTTAGTAAAAACATCAGTAGATTGACACCACATCCAGTAGCCGACATTGGAATTCACTACTGTGTTTCCCCGAAGATAGGACAGGGTCTTATTTCAATTTTTCTTTCGAAACATAACACGAGGGCCTATTTTTTGGGTAGATGTCTTTTATTTGCATTTGTCAAAAGCCTAATTTCAAAGTAGAGAATTACAAGATTTTCAAATATACAGAATATGAAAACGGATATCCATTTACTTATAAATACCACGATTTTATTTTAAAAAAAAGGGTTAACATAGATAAAAAAAAATGACCATATCATCATCCTCTGAAATGTCTTGCAAGTCACTGTATTTATAAATTTCAAGTTGACTGGGGCTTATTTTAATGGGAGGGCTCGTATTGAAATCATTTTAAAGATCACGATAGGTCCTAACCGCTGGGAAACACGGTAAAATTAAATTCATTTTAAACCAGTCTGATGTCAGTTTAACCGCAACGCGTCATGAGGAACAGTCATGGAAGAATGTGCCAAATACAAATAGTTATAATAGCTATATTGATGTTCTCTGCCAAGTAGGGCTGCGTCATGCGCAACTAATTTAGTGCATGCACACAATAATATGACTCTGTTGCGACTGACTCACGCCAAGTGCAATAAGTTCACGTTCTGCTGATTACATAGCGCTCCAGAAGTGTGTGTACCAATATGGAGGTAACTAATTTTGTTTGCCTATTTTATCAAGTTATGTTCACTTAGCTGACACAGACAGTCCCGAACTTGTAATATAACTAAAATAAGGAAAATCGGAATAAAATTACGGCCTAACCCTGACATGGTACACACCGTACGGGAGTACCGATTACAGTGTTGCGACAGGTTTTAATGCTTCGTTTACGTATTTATAAGTTCGGGCTTCTTATTGCTACTGTTTTCCCTGTACATCCACATAGGGAGCATCGAATAACCCCCTTTCTTGGAAAACACTGGTGATGACGGCAAAAGACTGACAGGGTCTCATTTCAATTTTATTTTAAAAAATATTTCTAGGGCTTATTTTGGGAGGATGTTTTTTTTATTTTCATTTATTAAAATCAAAATTACAAAGAGGAGAATTAGGAGATTTTCGGTACTCCTGACGTATGCGCACCAAGATGTCGCACAACCTGAACCCTAACCTGGTACACAACCTAAGTTCAGGTTGTGCGCCATCTTCAGGCGCATACCTCAGGAGGTTCAGGTTTTCAAATATACAAAATATAGAAACCGATATCCATTTACTTATAAAAACACGTTTTCCTTCTTTTACATGTTATAGATTAATCATTTAAAATTTTAAAACGTATAAGAGAGATTTCTTGCTATCGACTGGGTCAAAGAAAAATTCGCGCTATTGACTAGCTATTATTTTAAGCGTGGGGCTTTTATTAAAATCATTTTTAAAATTCAGGCTAGGTCCTATTATCAGGGAAACACTGTAGGACATTTTGATGTAACAATCAATTTGTAGGTATGATAAACTGACGCACAAGTATTGTCACTCTACCGGCGTAAACTTCATTCCACTCGCGTCAGTCAACTACTACGGTTGTACATCATATTATTGCTAGGGCTAGGCATTTCAAATAACTGATGATTTCAGAATCGAATCGAATATTTTTTTCGAATTGAATTTCGAATACTTGGGGAGATATATAATTGTATGTAACTTTATTTCTGTATTTGGTCCTCCAGACACATAAATTACTGGAAACGTAATATACATCCCTCAGACGGTCCCATTACATTTGAACCCACGTACATTTGAACCCATGACAATTGCACCTGTATGCTATTGCACCTATGGAATTTTTTTTGTTTCACGGATAGTTAAACCCATACTAACCCTAACCCATGGGTTTTAGCACCCGCATATAGATTGAACCCGTGGATATACGCATGGGTTCAAATGTACATGGGTTCAAATGTACGGTCACCCCCTCAGACAGATTACTGAGCGTTTACACACAATAAAAACACGTTTTCCTCAATAACTCACTACAGAGAATAGTCATATGTCAGAATTGCGTTGAAAAAGTATGGCTTCAATAAAAAAAAAATGAGAAATTTAACTCGACCATTGGCAGGAAAAAAAACAAGATGGCGGCGATTCGAAATTTCGCTCTGAACCGATTCGAATAATTTACTATTCGATTCGAAATGCCCAGCCCGAATTATTGCGTAGAATTACTAAATTAGTCACGCACGACTTCGAACGTCAATATAGCTTCAACCACGTGCAGCCGATACATCGAATTAGTTTTCATAAGAAATCTTTTCTCAAATCAAGCCGATTTAAACCGTTATTGAATACGAAATGAATATAGAGAGTGTTCATAAAGTCTTGGAGGAATTTATCGATACCATATAATGTTTTAGTCCTCACAGATGAATATGAAGTATTAAATGAAGTAAAAATACAATTACTGATTAAAAGAGAAAAAAAACTGGCTAAGATATACTGAGAACTGACTTCATGACAAAATTGAAATTGTGAAGCGACTTTATGGACACCCTGTATATATATAGCTCTTTTTGCACAATTAGTTTGGTCGCTTTGCATCGTAACTGATGTACAGATCAATTCCAACTTCACGGAATTAAAGATGGATGTATGGAACTGGGCATTTCGAATACCTGATGATTTTAGAATCGAATATTTTTTTTCGAATCGAATCTCGAATACTTGAAATATATACTCAATTGTGATTTCAATTTTTTTTTTTTTTTGTGTGTGAGAGGTACTTCGGACACATAAATTATTAAAAGCCTAGAATACATTACTCAGACAGTTATCCGAGCGTTTCACACAATATAAGAAACATGTTTCATCAATAACTCGAGGCTCGGCGGTGTGACGCATTGTGTTAAGTGTTAGTAATACGCTCGCCACCTCACCTCTGATTACCCTGCATGGATTCGCAGGTTCAAATCCCATGTGAGGATGGTTATGTGCGAGTGGATCAATAGACTTGTCGTCGTAGGGTGGTTCACGTAACCGGTGGTCGGTTACGGCTTCCTCCACCATCATGTCCATATATCAGAAACAAATAGCTAATTAATTCCATACCCAATATGGACTGGTAACCGGACGAGATGCTGTGGTTCGCCAAATGATTAAGCCGTCTTCGCGGTTTCACTTTCCCTTGCGATAAATATGTAAATCCTATCTTAACTCGCTAAAATAAAAAGAGTCTGGCCGTCTCAGCAAAAGTCAATTTTATTTTTCCAATCAGTAAACGTGATTACGCTTAAACTGCCTCATAATTACTGATAAAAGTCTAGCAGCGGTTCTCGAACTTTTTAAGCCGCGCACCATTTTAGAATTTGTCAAATATCGCGGCCCATCTCCCCTCAAATATAACTAGCTATCAATAAGTTACAAATAACAGTAATAGAAGGGCGAAAGTATGTTTTATTCAAATAACACGTTGAAAATACGTGGATGGAATGTAAATATCCAAAATGAGGAAAATCAAATATCCATATTAAGGCGGGCAAGATCAAGTATAGCAAAGCATAATCGTGAAGCTTTCCTCTATTTTTTTTAAAATTTTGGGCAGAATCCTAAAAAAAAAAGTATAGCAACTATTTTTTATTTAATTAGCTCCACGCCTCTTTGAAAAATTGTCTACGCTCCCCTTGTGAGGCGCCCTGCCGTTTGAGGACCACTGGTCTAGTTATTTCTGAATACTTACATGAAACGTTGCATGGTGTGCTTTGCTCCAACGGATCGCTTTATGCTGAATAATATTGTATTGGACTTATTCTAAAGTACGCTGGAAAAAAATAAATTTATGATGGTAATTGCCGCTGAAATAAACGATATTTTTTCGGCGCTCCGGAAATAGATGTACTAATATAAAGGTAACTAACTTTGTTCGCCTATTTCACATCAAGTTGTGTAAAGGGACTGAAGCCTATGGACGGGTGTGTATTCACTTGGCTAACACAAACAGTCCCGGAAAATCGGAATAAAATTATGGCCTAACCCTAACCTGGTACACATACTACGGGAGGAACTTTTTTGTTATTAGAGTTTACTATTGAAAGTTTACTCCTATAATGCGACTGGTATTCGTGTAGTAATTGGATCCCGCCACTAATGCAAAAATATGAGATTTGATTAAAAACATCCCCTCCATGTTCAAAATAACAAATTAGTAATTATCCAATTAGGGTTAGAAAGGATTTGAATTTCCAGTGCAATCTGCGTTGCTTAGTATGATGATCTGAATATTAATAATACAAAAATTCCATCTATAATTGTTTTTTCCCGGAATTATTTTTTGAAGTTAGATATAATGGGCATCAGCTCTCCAGAAGTGTGTGCACCAATATGGACGTAACGAGTTTTGTTCGTCTACTTTACATCAAATTGTGTAAAGAGACTGAAACGTATGGGTAGGGGGTTTATTCACTTGGCTAACACAGACAGTTCTTGAACTCGTAATTATGGCCTAACCCTAACCTGGTACACATACTACATGAGTACCCTTCTCCAGTGGTGAGATTCAATTTTTGTGTCAGCCGGTTTCATCACAAAAAGTCATATTTTTCACCCGGATCTGTTACAAAAAGTCATTGACAGTAACCAGTAATGCTGAGCGGTTCGCTGATTTCATAAAATTCCGTGAGACGGTTCTATAGAACCGGTGCGAACCGGCTGAATCCCACCACTGCCCCCCCCCCCCCCTCTCTTAAGACGCCTCTGAGCTGTTAGTGAGGCAGGAACGACCTTACATGTTCAACATAGACTGCTAAATTTCTATACAGGGGCGTAGTCTAGCCAGACATTTTGAACGGGGGGGGAGCTGAAATTTATTAGTTGCCAAGTTTCCAATTGCCTGAAAACGTAGGGTCTCAAAAGCCTTGAGGATCTAATAAGCGTTTCATGCTCTAAAAATGGGGTATGTATGATACAGAACAATGCCCCTGGAACTGGATAACACATACTCTGTCACATGACAAGTAATCAACATTTTGTTGTATGCACCTGCTTGCGGCAACGCTGCATGGTTAGTCACATTTATCACCTATATATGAGCATGTATGACTAAAAATAAACAAGGTTTTAAACATAACGCATGTGAGTTAATTTCGCGCATGAGATCATAGGCAAAAACGTTCATTTAACAGACTTTCCTCATATTGGTATTAATACTGGCAACACAAAAAGATATTTGAAGTGTTGCAAATTCATTTGAACCCCCACATGGGATTCGAACCCACGTCTTCGAGAGCGTGATATTCAACGCCGGGAAAACATATTTTTAACGTTTTTTTTTTGTGAAGCGCTTTAAATCTTCGCTCCAAAATAGACTTTAGACAAGCAGTCGTTGTTATATGGTAGGGGTCGGCAAACAGCGGCCCCTGGGCTAAATGCGGCCCGCGAACTAATTTTTTGTGGCCCTCGAACAACCCGACTTTTAATACAAAGTACAACTATTGATCATAAATTTATTGTTGTCTCCACATGGTTTTATGTAGTAGCAAGTGCTGCTGTACGCGCTTGTTTTGTAAGAAGTAGCGTCAGGTCTATGTCATTTACTTGGTGAAAGACCCATCGTTGGTTGTGATTATAAATCAAGTTAATTTTAATTTTTAAAATTTAAAAATGTCTGGGAAACAGATGGAAGTCCAACGGGGTGGCGAACAATCCAAGGTGCTTGAACGAAAAAATAGTTTTTAAAACCAGTTTGCTTGATATGTCAAATCAGCATCGCAATTATCAAGTGATTTAATGTTAAACGTTATTACGAAACGTGTTAGGGAAAATACGAAATTTGACCTCGAGAACTGGGCCTGCGCCACTGCTATTCTGTGCGACAGTGTAACTAAGAGACTATAGGAATAAATTTCGTACTCGCCTGTCAGATCTTCATTTGGACGACGTACCGCGGGGCAACAAGGTTGCCATTTGATTTTAACGCTTTGGCCATGACTAGGGTTACCATATTTTTGTGACTTAAAAGCGGGACACCTCCAAAGACCATAGCTGTGATTTCATACCATTACATTTTCCGATTTTACTACATAGGCCTACATTTAAAACTATCCCGGCTGTCTTCATTGACCATATTGTCATCGAGAATTCATGCGCATATTTCTCTGTTCAAATATCGGGTTCAGTTCAAAAAATAGGAAGGAATTGACGTTAACGATACCGGTACGAATAATTCAAATTTAGACTAATTAGTATTAGTTTTACGTGAGATACATTTGCTAACAATGTGAGCGGGAAACAACGAAACAAACGCAATAATGCATTCACCTTTAGTAAGTAGGTTAGCGCTGCACTACACAGAAACAACAGTAACGAGAACATGTTGGTGTATTATGCTGGATGGCTGAACGCCAAAGCGGGACTTTTGGCTGACTTGTCGGGACGGCGGGACAAGACGCTAAAAAGCGAGACTGTCCCGCCTAAAGCGGGACGTATGGTAAGCCTCTCCATGACACACGAAACAACATCATCCTTTGGTAAAAAGTAAATTTATTCGTAACAGCTAGCGGGTCAAGAAAACATGGGTTTGCAAGAGTCTTGAGAATCTAAAAAATGTTTCAAGCTACGAGCAGGGACGTAGCCAGAAATTTTCAAAGGGGGGGGTTCTATAAATTTTTTTTTTGCCAAGTTAGATTGAAACAGCTAGCCGGTTCGATCGAACGCTGGAATACGCGTGTTTTTATTATTCTTGGGGTCTAAAAAGCATTTCAAGCTACGGAAAATTGCTACCTATGATACAGAAAAATGATTTTATTTTTACATTTTAAAAGGGGGGGGGGGGGGGTTACGACCCGCAAAACCACTCTCTGGCTACGCCACTGGCTACGAGCTACCCGCAACTAGGTACACCCCTGCCCTTCAATACGAAACTTGGGCACAAGCTTTGTTATAATCAGCGTAGGGAAGGCGATATGATGCTTTGTACGTTCCTTCGGAGTTAGACTCCGGAGAGGCAAACATTTATTTTGGAGATATCTCGATGACCTCTACAACTTCTATGATTCACATATTAGATCTGACCAATTTAACATTGCTCGACCGTACTTCCAGGTTATCGGCTAATTATCGAACAATAAAGGGAAACGTATAATGTGCTCAGCAGAGGAATTGGTTTGATATAGTAAACTTCGTACAAATAAAAGTTTATTAAGAACTTTCGATATACTTACTGAAATAATAAATATTTCTCACTAATATATCAGACTATCAATCTATTTCCTTAATCTGTTAAACAAGCCAGTAGGCGCCAAGTATGGATCTCCGCCGATGCCTAAGGCCGCTTTCATTTCAGGGTTTGTCGGCACGTTTTCCCGTGGGGCTTCAAAAGTCTTAAGGGCGTGAAAACCGGTTCAAGATACGAAAAATTGCTTTGAAAAATACAGAAAAATGTTGGTGTATTTTACGTTCCGCGAGGGGGTTCCGACCCCCAAATCACCCCACACCCCTCCCGTCTGACTACGCCTCTCGCATTGAAACATTGGCATCCATGCCAGGAGTGGGTTCACAGACATGAGAACATTGCACAAAATCAAATTGCTTGCCCCTTACGCATTTCATCACATATTATCATGCGAATGCTATTCTGCTAAACTGCTTGTCTTTTTTGCCTTGTTTGGAGCAATAAAGCTAGTCAAAATGCATACAAAAAGCAGATGATTATAAAACACGAAAATACTGCGTAATAATACAAAACACCTAATAATATATCCGGGCAAGATCAGCTTTCAAGCGTCAGATTGTTAATCGATCTCGTTCAAAAATAATTATCGATCTTTTGTACAAAGCCCCTGTCAAAAAACACTCCCACCCCCCCCCCCCCCCCCCCCCCCCCAGATTTGAAAATTTGTTATCATTTAGTTAGGATAAAAAATTCAGATTGCACTGGAAATTCAAATTTCAAATCATTCCTAATTCTAATTGGATAATTACTAATTTGTTAATTAAAAAAGTGGCAAGTATGTTTTTCTCAAATTTTACATTTTTGTATTAGAGGCGGTGCTCCAGAAGTATACGCACCAAGATGTCGCACAACCTGAATTCTAACCGGTACACACATACTATGTTCAGGTTGTGCGCCATCTTGGTGCGCATACTTCTGGACGTCCGGCGGGGCTTTGTACAAAAGATCCAATTGCCTTTGTTTTACTGTACTGGGAGTAACCTCATGAAACCTCCACTGCTTGATAGCCTTATTCAGAACGGCGTTTCATAATTAGCTAGCCTGAAATAATACAAAACAGCTAACGATATAAGTGAGTAAATTTAATACTGAAACGTTAGAGTCTCCAGGGTGGTCCAAGATTGGCATCTCCGCGGGCCACAAAATTACTTTTGCATTGTGCGCGGGCCACAATAGTGCCAAGAGCTTCGCTCGTTAACTTCGCTAGTTGCTTCAGCAAGCTATAACACTAGTCAATTCAGTGACAATAGTGATGAAACAATATGTCAAAAGCTTTCTTGGTTAATTTTATGACGAAACAACACGAAATGCGATTTTTTGAACCCTCTCCGAATGCGACGCGGGCCACAGATAATGAAGTGGCGGGCTACATGTGGCCCGCGTGCCTGGGTTTGGACCACCCTGCGATAGACTATTAATTGACCAGGCTACCGACGAATTGGAATCGCTTGCCTGTAGCCATATTTGAAGCGCCTTTTCATAATGATTCTAACTCAGCGGTGGGCAAATTACACGGTAATCTTTATTTATGAATTTACAGTTTTATAAATATAAATTTCGTTGAAAATATCGATGAA